TTGCAGGAAGAGAATGTCGTTTTGCATTTTTTGGGGGATCGGCCGCCTTTCTCTACCCATTGCATCGACGATCGTTTTGATTCAGGCGTATAGTGGTACACCCAAGTTTCGTCTCCAGTTACGACGCGGTGGAGCAGTGATTCCCCTTCCTCCACATACGCATTAAGAAATGAACGAGCGGCGTTCATGCGTTGTGTTTTGTGCTGTTCAGTGAGAAGACGAGGCACCCATCGCGCGCTCACTTTACTCAGTTGAAGTTCGTCGTGAATGATGGTTCGAATGGAAGATCGACTACAGTCGCCTCTACTTCGGAGTTTTTCGGCCAACTCGTCCAGGGTATACCGCCCATCTTCCTCAATCAGCTGTTTCACAAGTGCGACGTTCTCTTCGTTGACTGCGTGCGCTGGTCGTCCTTCGCGCTCTTCGTCGTGCAACTCTTCGTGGCGTAACCATCTGCAGGCTCACGCATTTATCGCCGTAAACAGAACATAATTCTCGATAAATTTCTGTGGCAGTGAAGTTTTTACCGGTAAAAAAACGTATTATAATAGATTGGTGCAAAAATAATTGCGGTTTTGAAGCATGAACTTTGAAATAATATATCTCGGGTTAAAATGAAGTTATTTAATCAAAATAGGAACCATTCGATTCTATACATTTCTGCCAACGTAGTACAAGTTTGTTCATTCCAGTATTATAGAATTCTGGTGTTGTAGAGTCGATGAACTCTTCAACTGCGTTTTCGGCTGCTGCTTGAGTTTTGAAGTGTCTCTCACGCAGAAAGATTTCCAGATGTTTGAATAAATGATAATCCGTGGGAGAAAGGTCCGGCGAATAAGTTGGATGAGGCAAGGTTTTGTATCCTAGTTCATTGAGTTTTTGTACGGTGATTCGTGAGACATGTGGTCGGGCGTTGTCATGCAATAGGATAGGTCCCTTTCGATTGACGAGTATTGGACATAAATCTTTCAACTTTTTATGCATTTTGTTGATTTCGTGGCAATATTTCACTGAAGTAACAGTTTCACCAGGTTTGAGAAAATTATAGTGGATAATCTCACTTCTGGACTGTTACGTCCCGCGTTGCGGTCGTTACTTTCTTTATAATTTCGGGTCCTGGCTCTTTTAAGGTGCTAAAGCACGCCCTGTCTAAACTTGTCGGTGAAGTACAGTCAACCCTCCTATAACGCGGTGAGTGCGTACCGCGTTATATGGAAACCGCGCTATAAGAAACTCGGATTTAACCGTACAAACCAGGCTAATTCGTAGCGCGTTCTATGGAAACCGTCTACCGCGTTGTATGGAAACCGCGCTATAAGAAACGCAGAATTAGTACAAATCACATTATTCGTACCGCGTTATATGGAGACCAATAAGGACAAGATAAATTATAAATTATTTTTATTGAATTGAAGAGTTTATATAAAGAAATGATACCAAAACTAAACTGAAAAACTGTTTTCCAACAAAAACAAGAAAGACTTTTGTAAAATTTAATCTTTCAACACTCATCCTCGCTGTCAGATAATATGAGTCGCCTAACTCGTCTTCTTTTAATAGGCAAAATGTCTTCCTCACTTGGCTCATCTTCACATTGGTTTTCGATTGTAGCTTTTTTTTCTAACTCCACTAAAACCTCTCTATAGGGAGCTAAGCAATTTCTTAACTCTCTTTTAAACTTTGCGCTACGCACCGTTGAATGATCAGTTTGAATGAAATGGAGTTCTAATTCTTTAGCCAAATTTAGCCCTTTTTTCACATCTTGTAAATCGACATTTGGCACCCATTCGTTTTCCTTATTTTCGTTTACCAATGGATTTGAGGTGGGTGCATCAATTAAATCCATCAGTTCATCCTCATCTAAAGTTTCTTCCCCGAGTACGAGTTCTCTTACATCCTGATGGTTTGTTGTAAATTCTTCATCGCCTAAACGAGAAGCAATGTTTACTATTTCTGTAACTGGGAGTGAAATTGTAGAATCATCTTGTATTGTTTGAACCATTTCAGGTAAAAGGGGTTTCCAACACGCATTAAGCGTTGATGGTTTAATTTCCGCGCAAGCCGATGACACGGTTCTAATACAATCTAAAATAGAAAATTCCATCCAAACTTGAGTAAGGGTTTTATTTTCACTACTTTCTAATCTGTCGAAAATGGTTTGGAAAACTTGGCGTGTGTAATACATTTTTAAAGTTTGAATGACTCCTTGGTCCAAAGGTTGTATTAATGACGTGCAGTTAGGAGGAAGGAAGACAATTTTTACATTTGGATGATCCAGTTGTATGTTGTGGCAACCAGCGTTATCAAGAACCAATAAAACTTTGAAATACAAATTTTTTTCCATCGTATGGGTTTCCACTGCCGGGATAAAACAATTATAAAACCAATCCTTAAATAAATCTTGGGTCATCCAAGCTTTCTTATTAGATCGCCAGAATACAGGCAATTCGGTCTTATTAATGTTTTTCATAACACGGGGAGTTGAAGAACGATTTATTATCATAGGTTTTATCATCAGGCTCCCTGATAGATTGCTGCACATATGAAGGGTGACACGTTCTTTTGAAGGTTTAAACCCCTGAGCACGCCTTTGATTTTTCAAAATGAAGGTCCTAGATGGTAGTTTTTTCCAATATAATGCCGTCTCATCGGCGTTAAAAATCTGATGAGGTGAATAGCCTCCTTCATTGATAATTCTAGCTAATTCCAGCTTATAATTCTCGGCAGCCTCAGCATCTGCTGAGGCCTGTTCTCCTTGAAACTTAATATTGTGTAATGAGTACCTTTTTTTTAGTTTTTCAAACCACCCTTTACTCGCGACAAACGAATGATTTTCTAGCTCTGCAGAAGAATGCCCAATATTCCTTAAATGTTCATAGATTTTAAGTGCTTTCTGCTTGATAAGATTTCCACTGATAGGAATCTTTTTGGCTATACAGTCTTCCAACCAGATCATTAACGCCCGTTCCATTTTAACCATATTAGAATTTCGTGTGCGAGTGACACGTTTCGCACCTAACGGACAGCCATCTGCCACAGTTTTCCTTATATTGTCTGCATTTTTCTTTAGGGTTCGAATTGTAGATTCATTCAACTTGGTTGATTTTGCAACCGACGATAGATTTTCCCCACCTTCTAAACGATTTAGAATTTCGATTTTATCTTCAAGAGATATAAACTTTCTTTTTAACCCTTTCCTTGTTTCTTTCGTGTTTGACATGATGCAAATCTAGGGTTAATAATTACTTTATTATTATTATATTAGAACAAATGAAGAATATTACTTACAGTATTGTGTAATGTTGTCCAATTATAAACCACAAATTAAGCAGCAAAAAGCTGAACGAACGGACGGTGCAGAAAAATTTTTAGAAAGACTTGGTCACCAACAAAACGTGTACACTGTGAAAGAGCTCTGAGAAGACTAAAACCGATGTCGTAGACGGCTATCAGATAAGCCGGAGATAATCTTTATATAAACATATCTAGTTACTATGTCGCGATCCGACTGCCTGGACCTACATGAAACTGGCGCCATCTGTTCCCTTATAATTCAAATAGGCCCTAACGAACTAAACATAGGCTAAACATTCTTAGGCTACGCGGAAGGAACTTATGGGATGCTGTTGACGGAAACCGCGCTGTAAGAGTATCGTGTTATAGGAGGGCTGTCGCATTTTCAGCTTCGCGTTATATGGAAACTGCGTTCTGAGAGTACCGCGTTATAGGAGGGCTGTCGCATTTTCAGCTCCGCGTTATATGGAAACCGCGTTCTGAGAGTACCGCGTTATAGGAGGGTTGACTGTATCTCACTTTAATTGTGTAAGACTTGTAGCGGAGATCCATGCCGATATTACACGAATATCGGTTGAATTCATAACGGTGCTAAATTCAAAGCAAATAACAAAAGGGAACACTTTTGAGAAAAGCTTCTATGCTAAAATGTGACTCTGGCAATGGACAGTACGACTATAAACCAGGTTATGCCAAAAACAAAAGCATAACGAAAACAGGGAGACAAATGTTCACATTTAAAGAATATCCGACATTTCATATGCACCAACGTAATAGTTAGAGTCCACTGTAATTGTCTTATCCTATCAATTTTCCTGCATGATCTTCACCGTTAGAATCTTTTTCTCCATGACTTATCTCCTGCTCTTCTTCTCCACAATTCACCACCTGCCTTTTTCTTGTTGATTCGCCTCCTTCCCGTTACTAATCTGTGCTTATGTTTGCAGGATACTGCTACTCGGGCATATTTCATTAGGCATTTTTTTACATTAAACATTTTTTCATCCAAAAACAGGATACGACGATGTTTATTTCCCGCGTATCGAATTATCAGTGCTTTCGCTCTTTCTAATCGTATTACTTTCAAACGAGTAGCAAGAAGATCACCTTTTTTCTTACGGCATTCACGGAGTTTAAAGTCTTTATAAAGCATGTTTTTCAAAGATTCCTTAGTCACTCCCATCTCCGTGGTAATTACTGTTTGTCTCCTAATGGAATTACGACGAATTCGTGATTTCACTGCCTTTATAAGGAGTCCCTGGAATTCATTAAACCTTTTAATTGTACCTTTTATTGTAGGTTTTGTAAAAGTTTAAAAATCATGATGGGATACACGTACGCTGCCGATTGTGTCTTTGGATAAAATTTTATGATTAAGATCATTCATCCTTCCGTTGGTTACTTTGTGTGAATCTGTGTTCACAACATTTCAATAATACATAAGTCAGTTTGATGGACAAAAGGCAGTAACGATTTTATATCTGTAAATACCTACATATTCGTAAAGATATTCTACAAATATCAAACTTTCAAATAAACTTGTCTTTAGATATTTTTTCTAAGTAATTATACACAAAAAAATAGTTAACAGACTCATTTGTAAATACATTTCATAAAAATTCGTGCATTTGAATTTATTTCTGTTAACCTAACATACAAACGGACTACTTATGGAATATTGTATGTAAAAATTGTTTCTAATCTAGCAAGGAGAGGGATAATTTAAGAGTTGGAAAAAGGCGGCTACGGCCCGCAGAAATCTGCGATCTTCTAAAAGGCTTTCTGGTGATTTGCTGTTGGATAGCTACTTGGAAAGTTGACACTTCCATGATGTATCACTTAGTGAAGAGTCAGTCTGTAATAAAATTGTACATATTTTACAATATGCTGGAAGTTGGCGATCGACTGTTCAGTGCATTCGGTCAAGACACAATTGATGCTCTTTTATGGACTGCTACAGAACCTAGATCGAAGACACAAGCCAGATCTCAGCATTTGGGTACTCTGCCACATTTGCTATTTGCTGTTACTTATGTCTGTATCCTTTATATATGTAAATAGAAATTAACTATTTCATAAATAGAATTAAAAAGTACAAGAATAAATATTATCTACAGCTAGTGATCGGACTGATACCGTATCGATACTATCGAGTCCAGGCTGCAAATTATGATTCCGTATTGAATAGTATCAAACCTGTAGGTATCAAATATAATCGATACCAGTTTGATACTTCTACGAAAGTATCGATACCTGTTTGATACTTCTACGGAAGTATCAATACTTAATGATTGGTACTTCCAAGTACTTGGTATTAATTATCGATCTGATACCTCTTGAATTGATACCAATTCAATACAAATACATACCGAACGTTCGTTTGATACTTCACAAAAATATCGATACCCATATGATACCTAACGAAATTATTGATACCCATTTGATACTTTACGAAATTGTCAATTATCAATATTCATTTGATATTTCACCAAAACATTGATGTCTGTCTAATATAACTTCGAAAGTTACGAAGTATGGGTACTATGTACAAGAAATGCGATATTGAGTAGCATTGATGTTAACTGCATTACCGGCTTCATTTTCGAAAAAATATCCGTATCCGTATTAGTCCGATCACTAACTACAGCCAATAAGTTTTGACAGGATATCTCAATAATAACACGAAAATGTACAAACAATGTTTGGAATTTTAAAAGGCAGTAATAAATTGAGAAATACTTGATACCTATTTTCCTTTATTGCTAATCATTTACATCTAGGGGGTGAATACATCCCTTAGAGTTGATGCTGGAGAACAGATTGTCTTTAATACCTTGAGAACTTTTAAACAACAATTCATTATCCTTTGTGCACAATTAGTTGTCGGAAATACTATTATTTTGGTTTAAAAAATTATTTAGAAATATATATTTTTCTATGTGATTTTCTAATTGTATTTTCAAGTCTCTTTAAAATTATGGGCGCCAGGTATAAAGCAGGATGACACTATCGTGGGGGTGACACCCAATGTTTTCAAACGTATGTTAAAAAATGACATTTTTGCCAATTTTACGACTGGAAGCCCTTTTCTACAATAAATGATATTCGCTACGAACTCTTAAATCCATGCTTTCTAACGACCAAACATTTTATATAATCTTGAGGGAGATGGGGTGACACCATGAATTACCGTACCGGGTATTTACACCCCCTAGATGTGAATGATTGTCCATAAAGGTGTGACATATTATTATCATACGGTTCTGTGATTGAATTTTTATAATGCACGATACTAAATTTTTTCCTAACCATTGTTTCTAAAGTATTGCACAGTATACTGGTGCTCTTCCAAGCAACCACACTGAACGTAGCAATAAATAGCAGCAACAAAGCTCTGCTTACTATAATGATGTCCAATAATGTAAGTAATCATTAATAGTACGTGTTTCACAAAGTGTTTCGAAAAACCAATAACGTCCGTAGAAATACAGATTAGCCAATTGATATTGCTAATTACGATTATAAAAAATACTAAAACCACTTACGATATATATGCGTTTTTAAAAATACTTTGTTCATGTATTAAGTACAATACTACCATAAAAATATAAAATATCGTAAGTTCAAAAACTTTGAATCTTAACGTGCAAGTTACATGAACCACCCTGTATACGGGCCAATAGGTATCAATTTTCTATATGTACAATATTTAATTGTTTCCATATATTGTTGGATACTAATTCAAATATGTTTCTTCTAACGTACAAAAAGAACGATAACTGACAATATGAAATTTGTGTTTCAGTTCGTTGAATTAAAAGGTTCCGTCTTTAAGAAATTCGACAAGAATAATCTGTTCCAACTATCTTGTGCAGACATTAGAGAACGTTTCCATATGATGATGCTTCTTTTTGCTGTCACTCTCCAAACAATGAAAGAGTATGCCTGGAAACCAGAACGCCTCATAGTGCTCTTACCGGATTGTATAATGTTACTATTGGCAGAAGTCCTTGTCGATTGGGTATGTAACAATAAATGTAAAATAATGCTTAACTTTTACATAAATTTTATCACTATCTATCAGAGTCTTTCTTTGATTTTGTCTCATGTTCAAATTACACATGTCACATTGCGTTACACTGCAAAGACATGACTTTCTCATTATTATATGATTATTTATTACAAAAGAATACTGCAATATTATTTTCCGAATATTTATTAACATTTTTATTACAATATTTATACACATAAATCTTTATAAAGTATTTACATCATGTTTTGATTCTGTTCTTTTGTGACATTTTTGTTCTATCTTTCCTTTTTCATTTTCTTTTTGTCTCCTTTTTCTTCTCTGCAAACTTTATTTTTAATAGATTGATGAAGAAGTGCAAAAGATAAAAATAAGTCAAGTAGTCAAAATAGTTTATGTTCCACACGGGCAAGTAGATTTATATTATATTTATCAAGGAAACCACTCACTATTAAAATAAAAACAAGTATTGTAGTGGAAGATTTGCGACAAACGCCGACAAATTTTTCGTTTATAATTTTTATCTTCAATAATAATGATTGGATAATCAAACTGTAAAAGAGAAAAAATGTGTGTGGTCACGAGCTTTACAACGCTGTATTTTTTAAAATCCAGTTTAACGACATTTAATTTTCCAATCTTTTCTAGCGTGTGGACAATACTTTTTCGCATTTTCGACCCCTAGTCAAATGATAAGTTTCATTCTTTTCCTATATTATATAAATACAAAAAAATCGATTATCCAAACATTTGTAGTAAATATATCAAGTGGTAAAAGACACATTACCTCATTTTCCGACGAGCCTTCCTCGTCTTTCCACAGATATTTTCTCCATGGTGATTTAATTATGAAATATTACAGGAATCGATGAATACACAATCGCGCCAATTTTAGGTTATATTCACAAATGTTGTTAGTATTAAAAAAAATTACCAGCAAGGAAAAAAAAGCTGAGTAAATACTCGTAATAAATATTTACAATACATGTGCATAATTATGAATACAGAATCTGTTTAATGTAATATTTTTCATAAGTAGAAGTGAACCGTACTACGTTTCACGACGGACTTCTGGATCGGGTTAATTTTCATTTAATGAAAACATGCTACTTTTCGAGACCAAAATCGAAATGTGCTACTTTTCGTCGTCAGAAAGCCCAAAGTGCTAGTCTTCGTAAGACAAATGACACGTGCTACTTTTCATAACGCACTTATTCGTAGTATCATACACGTGTTTCAATTGATTTCAATACACGTCACACATGGGTATCATCATGTGAGAATGTGAGTGCCTTACCTTATTGCGTAGTATTTGAAACTGCTACTAGGGTGCGCAGACGATGAAGAGGTTTCTCGCAGTTGAAAATGTACGGTAAAGACCTTAAGTATCATCCCGAAGGAGAGAAAAGCATACTTACCTGGCGTAGAGGTTACCGTGATCACGAAGGCGGTTCCTCCAGGGCGAGGCTCTTCCATTGCACTACGGTTGAGCTGACCCTTGCGAATATCCCTAATGTGGATATCTCGGACGTACAATTTTTGTTAGTCGGGACTGCGTTCGCGCTTTCCCGGACAAACTAATTATTAAAATTAAACATTCTTGATTCTTTTTCCAATTTAGTAGCAAAAATAACTCTCAATCTTTGATTTTCTTTTTTGTCCTCCCTTAACATTAGAATTACCAACGATAAACACATATTTGCTTTGATCAGTGGATAAACATGAATAAAGCTTCTAAAAATTTAGATTAACTAATTTTGTTTCACTTTCATATCTTAATAAAAGATGCAAAAGATCTGAAACAATGTATTGTCATAACGTTTTAATCGTCGTTATAAGAGTGTATTGACTTGCTTGGTAAGTTCTAGTGTTAATAAGCATTGATTTGTGTTTATATAAAAAAATGCTCGTTAAATTATCAAGTGAAAGTAAATATTATGTTGTTGAAGTAAAAAGCGTTAATTTCGTAAATGTTGTTATACATCTCCTAGTCATTGAAATCAGTCAACTAATCTGGTTAGTAAATGTGTTCACACGAAATGAAATTTTATACTTTTACTAGTAAATGCATACATTCACATTTCTGATTTACTAAGAGCATGCACAAACAAAAATGCATTAATTTCAATAAACACTTTTGTCTAGCATTTGTTTACATGAATCATATAACTTATAAATTGTGACTTAATAGGGACACGTCTTTACAGTTTATATAGGTAGTCATTAGTGAAGGATTTTTAAAAATTTGTAAAATTGTTATTCCACAGCTGTTTGAAATATAGTGTCAACCCTTTTTAAATAAATCATAACTGTTGAACTAACAAACCGATCAAAACGAGCTTTGTGGATGCTTATACTGGAGACATAAGAGTACCAAATAACAATTATTTCAGTTAAAAAAAATATTTTTTAACCATTTATTTTGTAATTGTTTGAAAGAAATGCAAATTTATAGGAGGTACTATTAAAAAAATTGAGGATATAGTCCTATTTATCCTCTTTATGAACAAATTTTCAAAAACATAGAAGACTTTAAAATTGGCCATATGAAAATTAATTGAAGCTAACACTAGATCGAAGCACATCACCGTACCGGCTAGCCCAGTATATCGCACAGCTTGGGCGATCGAGCTGTATTTAATTCATAAGATCTATCAGACACGCTTGTTGCATATGAAAACATTAAAAAAAAGTTCAAATTTGTGTTTTACACAATTAATAACTTTGAAACGAAGGCTCGAACGCAATTTCGACTACACCCTGTAAAAGTGTCACACATGTTTATTTAACACCTTCTATGATAGTTAGTTGCTTTGCACAGTTTATTGATTCTGAATAATGATTTTTTTCAGGTAAAACATGCATTCATAACTCGATTCAACGAACTTCCTTCCACTGTGTATAGAGACTATACAATAAGCTTAGCCTACGATATGACTCAACCTCGTCAAGAAACAGCGTTTTCTGATCAATCGGACTTGGTAGCACGTCGGATGGGCTTCATTCCTCTTCCCCTGGGCGTCGCAATCGGAAGAATCACGCCGTCTCCGAAAGCAGCAAACATCATTTTATTACTTCTGGCCTACCTAATTTTAATCGCCGTTAGAATTCTAATTAGTTTGATAATTCTTGGCAAGGCATGTGATATTATTTCCTCGCATTCAGAAGAATCAAACGTTACGATCGCGTCTTTTAAAGATCATTCTCGGACTAACCCTGAGTCGAAGAGCACAAATTTAGCCACCACAATGTTTTCTAATAGCTCGATTAGCTTGAACAATGTTTGCTTAAATGATGCTGTGCTCAACGAGGAAATATTAGAAGATACTGAAAAAGTTAGAAAAGACGCGACACTGTAAACAATGCTGTTTTCCTAATATTTGGCAAAATATTTTTAAATGCAACGTAAAAGATTTTATAATTCTGTTCGCAGGAAAGACATGTATATGTGTGAGTATTGTCTGTTAAGAACTGTGATATGATAGGTATCTTATATTTACAGGAATAACTATTGCAACAACCTCTGATAGGGGGACAGAAGTACATATTTTGTTATTTATCTATACCGATTAATAATGTACTAATATACTGATTATCTTGTGGCTGCATAGAAAATTTGTACTTTATTATAGCATTATTAGTGAAACAGATAAGAGATAGTTAACCAGATAGATGGTTAACGTACTAATGAACTATTAAGCTAAGCCATGGTAAATCAAAATGATCAATGCTATTCTAATGTAAATAATGCTTTAATTAATTTTATTCTGATTGTGTTTAGACATAAGAAAATGATTAATCCATTTGCATCAAGAAGCTAAACGTACCTCAAAGTGTTTACGCCGTGGACACACAATTAACGATCGACCCGTATCACCGACAATTTCCTGTACTTTATATTGCTTATTGAACGCTTAAGGATCATTCTGCATTCGGTGACATGGCCCAATCATCGAGCGCAGAATATTTCGCTTTCGGATAGAAACGAGTTTAAGAAGAATTTAGTGCATTCTACAGAAGTCCAGATCCTGCACAATATGTATATTTAAAAAGGTTGATACAAATATTCAAAAATATTTTTATTTGTCAACTAATTTACAATATTGTAATTGAATAGGAACGTACTTCCTCAATTAGAAATTTTAACGAAGTTCTTATTTTATTGTCTATAGTAGACTTATGTACGTATATTATTAAATATATATATATATATATATATAAGGGGGAAAGAGCAAAAAACATTATTTATTTTTAATCTGGTGAACGTTTTGAAGATCAACTTCGTTTTTTTAAATGGATAAATTCCTCCTAAGTATCCAATAAAAATAGTAACTCCGAAAAACGAAAAAGATCTTCATTTCTGTTGAGTTCCATCGACGGAGATTGTCAATCCTCGATCATTTTCCTTTTATTCGTTTACTTTTTTTTCATCGTGCACTATATTTTTCATTTGACAAATTGCAAAAAGTTTCTGCTGCACAATGAACATTTTTGAAAATCTTGTCGCACATGGAAGTATAAGCGGGCGTCCGCAATTCCGTTGAAAAACAGAATTTTTCTTAACTAGCATAACCGATTCCCAATAATCTGAATATCAAATTAATCCCTCTCTTTGTGTTATAAGCCTTGCTATTTAATAAGTGGCTCTTTACGTCTTTAATCAGACTGAAATATTAGTAGTAAAAGAAACATTTTAAATGATAAAATTAAATTGAAAAACTTTTACGTATATATGTATAGATTCTGTATACACAGTAAGCCACGGCCAGTAATACTTTTAGCGAAAATGGCATCGAATAGTTTATTGATGTTAATGGAAAACTGAATGTACTATGTAAACAGCATTGTATTATATTTTTGAATTTGTAACAAAAAAAAGATTTAGAAAGTATGTATTTATGGTTATTGTATTAAGAGATACCAAGGAGAAAGATTAATATATCTCGAGAAGAAAGAATAAAATTTGGTTTTTTAATGATAAAGAAGGTGTGAATCATTTCTATACCCAAGTTTTCGAATTCTAACTGATTAATTTCGAAACGTCGAAACGTAGAAACCCTTCGAAACCCAAGAAAATTTCAAGCTTCGAGAATTCGAAACTGCACTTTTTTGTGATTCAAAATTCTCAAAACCCAAGTAAGAGAAAATATAACATCGATAAATGAACATTTCTGTTCAGGCAAATATGATTGAAAATAATTCGATCATTCTTCCGAAGAAAATTGAAAGATTAAAGAATTTAATTGAAAAGGATAAAAAATTATTTCTTCTAAAATATGAGCATGAAAAATTGAAACAAGAAATGGAGATAGAATTTTTGAAAAAAATAATATGAATTACAAATTCGTAAAGCCACCACTGAGGCAAATTTATAACTGTTTATGCAGCACAGAGTAAATGAGGCATTACTTCCGCGATGTCTGAATCAATTTGAATGGGTGATGGTAATCATAATACCGTAAACAAGAAAGTAATTGTAAGTGCGGTCAAATGAGCAATCCGCGGTTATTAATTTTTGCAAGTTCTTGGTGGATTGTCGGGAAAATTCCATGAAGAACTGTTTCTTTGTTAAATCTATACCTCCTTTTGAATTCATATTCATTATAAAATTCAAAAGGATTTTCTTTATTACGAATATACTTTTTAACAATTCCGAAATTAATGTCCACCCTATCACCCTCACTATCATCAGTATCGGTACTGATATTAAAAATACTTTCAATAATAGAACTATCGTTTAACTCCATTTTTTAACACAAAACTATTAACAATTAACTTAATTAACTCGAATAAACACAATTAATTGAATTAAAATGAAACACAATTTGAACTATATAAGAAAATAGAATAATATTATTTGTAGCTGAATATATTGTTTAACTATAAACAATATAGATTTATGCAAACATTTTGTTGAAACTTCAGTTCTTAAAATAAATCATTAAAACAAAACAAAATCAGTAGATAGTTCAAGTTTCGAGATTTTTGGGAGTCCCGAAATCTTACAAAGTTCGAATTCGAGTTTCGAGAAATAAAAAATTCAGTTCCAACCCACCCTTAGATTAAGAATTTCATTTTCACCTAAAAAATTCAGTGTAAAATTGTTGATAACAAAAAAAATATTTTATTAACCGTAAAAATCATGTGTACTTCTCTAGCAAATCTAATTTATAAAAAAATTTTGTATTTTGTCCGTTTAAGTATACTGATCCATTCTCCAATGATTTGTGTTCTAACATTTCTCATACTTCGTTTTCTCTCTATCCTTCGACCTACACTTCCTTCTCACTCCTTTCTACTGGTTCCATTTTCTTGCTCCGCTGTTCTTCTTTTTCCTTAATATCTGTTGTCATTTTCTTGCTTCCAACAATTCTCTTGTATTGAAATTTTGTATATCAATTGCAATAACTCTTAGATAGAATTGTTTTCTACTAAATAACAGAATTGTTTTCCGGAAGAATAATAGGGTAAGGAAACAAGTAAGTTTAAATTACTTATAGTCCAAGATAATTTATTACTGTAAATGCAGTTTGAACATGTGAATATTAGAATATTCATAACTGAAATTCAATGTGAAATTTCATCGTTACAGATATTTGAGATTTGAGATTTTCAACGATCAAATACGAGCTTAGTAAAATTAACTTCCAGTCTTGTAAATGAGAATGTATTACAAGGCTCTAATTAAAGGTCTAACAGTTGATGTATCAGTTAGTTTCTTGTTAAAATAAAGATCGCTCTTATTCTCACTCATCATGTACATATACTTACAAGGAAAGGCACGGAAGTGTCACCCTCTGATTAATTACAATTTAATTGTGATCTGGATTCTATAGTTAGATTAGGTGCCCAATTTTTATAAAAGTTTATCCTAAAGAGAGATAAGACTTGGCTATTGAAAAGGCTTAAGACTCTTTCTACAGGCTCCATTCTGGCTCTAAATGTTCATTATATTATGACCATAGGTGTTTTCTCGCTCAAAACGTCCGCAAACGTTCCGTTGGTGAATTAGCGGGCGTGTGCACGGGATATAAATAATAAAAATCTGCGAAACTGTAGGAGGCAATTTCATAAATATGTGTACCAATGGATTTGAAATGAATTGCTCATCACTTTTTGTCATTATATAAGTTTGAATAAGTTGTAAAATAAAGTTTAGGATATTGTTTCGTTATAAATAAATTGTATTTTAGACAATTTATTAGCACCATATTATTGTACATAAACACCATGAAACTCGCCCATTATAAGTTTTCATGTATCTCCTCTGATTTTCGAGATAGTACTTCCGGGTCGAAACTTTAAGGGGTGGTTTCAACCAAAAATTGCGTCTCAACCGATAAAAAAAGCATGTGTCCCTTTTTTGCCTGCTTAACATACGTAAGAAATTTCCTCAATATCGGAGGAGGCCATTTCCGTACCTTTCTTTGTTAGATGTATTTCACCTTTGCTTACTATGTTACAATATATTTATACAAAAGTACAGAACAGCATCGATTAGTTGAACAATATTCAAAGAAAAATTTTATACAATGTAACTAAGTCCAGACTCGTGTATATGACGTTGGTGGTTATACTTAGAGGTATACAAAAAATTCCAATCAAATTGGATCTGTAATAATAATAATAACAATCTAACGAATATTCCTATTTATAACAAATTCTTGAAACTTTTAATTGCGATTCTTGTAATTGTCTGACAGCATTTATTCTATAATGCATACTTGGAATAAATTAACTACATGATACACCAGAATACATTACTTTCACAAGAGAACAGGAAATATTTCTGATTTTTATATATTTACACCGCTTTTCATTTTATTTCATAGAAATTGATAATGTTTTCCTTCTTCTTGAAAAATAATATAAAGTTCAGAAAGATTGGAAAAGTTGAAATTTCTTGTGTATTGTAGTACCATTTTGAATCTTCGAATATTGTTCTAAATTTGAATTAAAACATTGTTTTTCTTATGATATTTATTTGAGATCTTCTGCCAATTTTATTAGAAGAAATTTCAGTTTACATAACACTGTAATAAATCAATGGTACGAATCATTCATAACCAACAGAACGTAAGTATTACATTAGCATCAGTTTTCAACGTTACCGGCAATTATTTCTACTAATAGTTCAAATATTGTATAGAATAAATATTCTGAAATAGTATTTCAAGTATTAAACCTACGTAATAAAGTTTGTAGTAATACTAAGCAAAAATAGGAAATAAAAATGTTTTAACATATTGATATTGCAATTAAATACATGTTATTTGTTTTGTCTTAACTATCTTAACGTCTCCATTACTTTCACTGCTTTTACATTTTCATTACCAACTTTATAGTCTGCGATTTTTCTAAAAATAATAAAATCTGTCTTCTTCAAAAAATAAGGAGAAAAAATAGGAGTACATTAATTATAAAATTTACTCTTTTTTGAAGTAAAAAAAAGCTTCTTACTACATTATTCACTATCACTGAAGGTAAAGAATATGTTTAAGTAGTCAAGATGAATGAGACTTGTATAGTTATACAATGAAAAATGATTTCCGGTAAAAGTTTTACTTAATAAAATAGTATGCTATATATTCGACAATTACAACATATTAAGAACGACTGTTTCAGAATCATGGTATTATCCTTAATTAGTCCAAATAATCGAGGTTCTGTTGTAGCTTGAGATCTCTTTCTCTGTTCTAAAATTACAATTTCACACACTTGATTCCAGTTGTCATTAAAGTGTAAAGTTCAAAGAATTCTTTCATAAAAGAGAAGGTAAGCTTGACTTTGCAGTACAGTTGTTTCGTCCACTTCTGTTACTCTACAAGAGAAATTTTTACACGTTTAGTATGAAATCTATATATTAATGTATAGCAGACCTGGATATTATTTGAATAATAGTGTACCATTTAATTAGGCAGTAGTTTAAAATAATTTATATTAATTTATTCCATGAGTAAATCATTCAATTCTAAACTATTTACAATCTAGTGATATGTATTTTTTTTTAAATTTTTTAAATTATATGGGATTTTCCAAGGGTAAAAGCAGTATGTATAACATTCTTGTTATAAGTAATCACTTTGAACAACGAATTAGTCTGAAATAATTTGCTTTGTTCTGATATATAATAAGGTTACATTCCCTATTTTCCTATGTAAAGTTATTAATTATTTAAAATTTAATTTTTTTAATCGTATTTAAATAATTGATATACAGGTCTGAATACATTTAAATAAATGAAAATAAATTCGTTTAATTGACTTAAATTGAAGAGGAACAAGTTAAATTATTTACATTTATATGTAATTTCTTTTTACAAATTAAGGGTACTTTTATGCGGAAATTAAAAACATATTTCGTTTGCAATACTATTCAAATTTTACTTTCTCTGTTAACCATAGTAACACTTAAATTTTCCACAACTTTTGAGGAGTTAAATATACCAAATGAAAAAATATCCCTTTTTAACGATGTAAGTAAAGGATATGCATTATATATTATTATATATAATAACTTTAACGTTTTATCTTCAATATTCTCCACAGAATAGAAACCTCTCGCTTTTAGAATCTATTATTTCGCGATTTAGAATATTTGTGGAAATGCCATTACCCCTTTGGTTCGTTATCGTACTATAACAACCCTCTTCTCCACAAATAAGTTGAGTTCTTGTTTATGCTAAACAATAATGTACGCTTTCATATGTATATGTATGGCAAGTAAAACTTACTTTTATATTAGTAGCATTTAACACTAAACATACTACGACCGGTCAATGACCGGTTTTGCCGTTCTAATTCCTATCTCTCTGAAGGGTTCGGTAGGTTTAGTGTTAAGAAAAAAATGTCTTCTGAACTTCTATTGATCATTAAACCTGATAGTTGTGTGTACGTTTACTTTAAAAAAAAAACTATTTCTCTGAGAGGGGAGTAACCAGGGAGGGTGTCATCAATTATTCGCGAATTTTTGTTATTCAATGCCAGTCTTAGAATGCATTCGTCATATAGATTGAAGGAGTACTATATTCCTGAAGTTGAATATGTAAAATAGCATCATTTTGCGAGAGTCCAGTGAAAATTTGTACAAAAAAAGAACTAATTAATATTAAACATAATTTTTCCTTGTCGGGGCGTGAAAATGTGATTCATGTAATGTTATAATTTTTTACTCGACTTACATTTGGCAAATGTACAAGTAACTCTATTCTATACCGTGTTCACATATAAGTACCCTTAATGGTAGAAATTCATTAATTCAATATGAAGGTCTTTGAAGAATACGCACCTAGAATCAGAAACGCAATACCACTTCCCTGGTGGAGGTTCCATTGTAGTTGCAAGACTTGCTGCACCTTCTTCGCTTTCAGAATCTGAACTCTGAGAAAGCGAACCTTCTTCAGTCTCTTGAACATCTTTAGGTGGCAAAAAAGACCATCGAGGATCATCTGATGTTAATGGCAAACGTGACTACAAAAACAATATTTATAAATTATAAAATATTCAAATTTTTGTATCTCAATTAAATGACTAAGAAACATATTTTTTTTTTTATTATTTTCGGACATATTCACACTATAATAATTAGCACTTGAATAATTACCTTTACATATGCAATGTAATGTCCACCATGAATAGTTCCACTGTGCTCAACGACTCCATAGAGTGCATATATTTTAGCTTTTTTATGATTCTTACAAATGGGTGCTAGATCAAGCAGTATTGGAAATGACACGTGCCTCGATACTTTACGAAAATCCACTCGTTGTGCTTGAAATCGTTTAAGGTGAAGTATCAAAACCGCAGGTACTCGGGATATCAGATACTGCTTCGTGCTTGGCGTACATACCATTTTGCAGTTTTCTTTCACCTGAAACAGCAACAATATAAACCTTTGTTTGAATATTTTACAATGTCTTGTACTCGACTGATGCAAAACATATGCGTTGTTTGGTAGTTTTACTTTGAATAACCTGACTGTTTTCTTTTCCTTTAAAAAATGTGGTATTAGGTTATTGCGCATAAGGCGGCCGATATTTTTGGAATCACTTTAAACTAACTGTATTGAGACAAATGAGTTTACACAGATTCTATACGCATTAATACAAATATATTTGTATAATTATTATAGGAATTTTTTATCAAAAGTGTAGATGAAGCTTGATAAAGTTTAACTATGAGTTGAATTTATCTAGTTTCTGTAATTCAATGAAATTACAGAAGCTAGTTAAATTGAACTCAGATATATTGTCTACTTTAAATCATTTTTATATAGTAGTCAGCCCATTTTACTTTCATAACAAGTAAATACAGTTAGTTAACATACCGAGTTAATAATTTACATTCATGAAAGTATAGCTAAGAATAGATGTTACTATAATTTGCCGTTTCATATTCAACCTAAATTTGCATTGTTTATACTTGTAACTTTGGTAAGTTTGAAATAAAGTACTTAAAATTTGTTATAAATTTGAATAAAAATTAAAAACTTTGCTATATGAGTTTAAGTTCAAGATTAAAATACCAACTCAGTTTTAAAATTCTTATTTTGTAGTTCTTGCTATAAAATGATTGCTGACAAAAAAAATATCTACTAAATATTCGTGCACATTCCTATATTGACGTATTTTGAAACACTATTAAACCCTACTTACAAAAATAAAAATTACTCTGAATCTATCTATTTTTAATAAATGTACCTAAATAATATACCTTTTTCTCTGCAGCTGTGCAAGCTTCACAGCTAACTTTATTGCTACCACTCATCAGCTCTAAGGCCGTGAATTGATTTAAACAGGATTGTATTGAACATTCTCCTTCCTTAGTAGTATATCTAGTAGGTGATGCCAGATTGCCAAGGCCCATTTTCGACATTCCATAAGAAATACCATTGGTTCCATTACAAACCTCATTTGAATATTCCAATGCTTTTCTTCTTACTTTTCTATTGTTTAAAAACATGTATCATTAAGTGAAAACATAAAACAATTTATGTAGAATAAATTGTCCTTTAATGTGAGAATTTCGATTTTTTTTTTCTAATTACTACATAAGGTAAAATAGTACCGCTGATTCCAAATAGCATTCTCCTGTTCGTTATGAGCAATAGATTCCACCAGATTCAGTCTAGATGTTGGTCTTTCCATATTCTCCACCATATTTTCACTATTTTCAAGAGTGAGAGTGGAACTATTGGGACATTTCAAATCTGAATTCATTGTTACGGTAGTAGACTGAGTTCCAGTCTGAATTCCAATTTCATTTACTGGACTCTTGAAATTATTTACTCTATCCAAAACTTCTGTCTGCGGCAGACTTTTTATACAAATGTCCGGCGGTATTGGACTGAAGAAGTGAATGAATCACTGAATTAAAAAAAAATACATACATAATAGAAACTCGTTTTCTTTAATCTAATACAATTAATATACCTGTGCAATGAGTTTGTATTGGAAGGGTCTTGAAGTTGTAATGGAGGAAGATTGTCTATTGGACTCAATTGTAAACGATTATATAATACTATTTCGTTCATTGGTTTATCTGCTTTCACTGGATCAGTCGAAGGAGAAGCAGGACTTGTTAGAGTAGACTGCTTTTCCGAGCTATAACCAGATTCGCCGATTTCTGGAAGAAAGGCTTCAGTTTCTACATTGTCTTCTACATCTGCGTCGCTCTCCTCTGCAAAACACAAGATAAATTTTGAATTTACATTAAAAAGATTATTTGATATTATTTTGGATCAACGACAGGTAATATTACCATGCCTTACCTGATTCAAGTATACTACTGTTATTGTCTGTAACAGTGTTGCTTCTGTTAGCTGGTGTTTCATCGTCAAAGTCAGGAAAGTCTTGTCGTTTAAGTTTGCGATTTTTCCGAGCAGCTATCTTCTCCTTCTTCGTTTGATATTTTGACGGTGTATGTGAGACATTATTTCCCAGCATGTCAAAAGTATCTTCATAAACACCATGCTTCCTTCTTAAATAAAAGCAGTCAGAATAATATCAACCAATTTTATAATCATTACTGTATTTTAATTTGTGTTTGAAATTCGAAAATAAAATCGCTTACTTTAAAATTGGTGGTTGCGGTTTATCTGCCATTACTGGCAGGCTTAAATCTAGGAAGGGCTCTGTACTCTGCGAAGTATGATTGCATTCAAGGCATTCCAATGTAGAAACTAAGATTCCACGAAAAACTGGTTCTGGGCCAAGTAACCTTGCACTTGCTTGATTGCCATAGAATTTTATACGAGATTTCAGACTCTTTTCTACTTCTTCCGGATTTGTTTTTTTATTTAAGCCAACCTCTTTTAGAATTATGCTTTGGTATCTCTAAATTTGGAAAGATTAAAAACAGGAATTCTTAAAATCTACAATGGAGATGTATATATTATTAAATCAATAAATACTACGCGTCTACAGAAACATTGAAAAGTATAATTGAAACGTTATTATCCTGTAGTAGTTAATAATTTAAGAAGAAATAGTTTTTAAAAATCTATATATTTCTGCTATTTTAGTAAACATAACTAACATTTTATTACTATTTATAATGTTTATTGAAAAACATGATATTAATCTGTTGACTACAAACGTAAAATGAATCTAAAACGTGAAAATCATACTAAATGATTAGAACTCATACAGAAACATATAGTTTAATGTTTTTTTATTTGATATATAACACAGATATACCAAAAATTTTAGTCATAGTCGATTAAATAAAATTTGTAGTTAAGTATAAGATTTAGCTCTCAGTAAAAATCGTACACGCTATTAAAACTATAAAACTGGTAAAACCTTGATTTTTCTTTTTCAATAATACCTAGAAACAAGTAAATGTAATTGAATCAGCTATATTCTGTTTGTACTGCACGTTATTTTGCCAAAATAAATAATAAAGTGTGTATCACAATATCACTATAAAAACAGAAAAAGTTATAATGAAATTAGCCAAATTGTTAATCAAAGCAGAAGCATAGTCCAGTAGAGAATAAACCGATATAAAGAAGACCGCTTATAAAATAAAATAAAATAAAATAAAAGAAACATCAGATTCAAGAGACACAGACCTACGCGAGATATGATTGCTTTTATATCTTTATATTTATAAATAAAATAAGGATATATACATAAAAATAAAAAAATTGTGTAATATATTTAAAATATAATAATAATACCGTTTTTATTCAGAATATGTATCATAGAATCATAAAAAGACGAAAATTCATCATTTTGGATCAGGACATACGGTGTACGTCGGTCGGATCGGAAGGATTAATAAAGTTTTATTTTCATGTGTGAGGCTTGTCTCTAAATTTCTTTAAAAAATACGAGATAAGTTTTTGGCCAATCCCAATAGTGATGAAAATATTCTTGTACAATTAAACTAAGAATTTTCAGCTACGTTAATTTCCAGAACGGGAACAATAATTAAACGACTGCATGAGGCTTTGCGAGAAAACCAAGTTCAAATAAGATTTTTAAAGTAGAAATCTTACCCTAAGGTCCTCGTTTCTAACTAGTTCTAAGAGATGCCTAAGAAGTTCGTGCGAATCATGTTGTCCTCCATCCATACATTGCATTGTTTTCTTCTTAAACGAATTTAACAATTCTGATGGACGATAAGACTGATGTCCATTTGAATTTTGCATTTCAACCAGTGTCTTGTGTAAAACTGAAGTAAAGTTGCCCCAACTGTCTAGACTACCTTCTATAGGTGGCTGAAACAGTTATGTTTTCTTAATACTCGAAGTATCTCGAAAGAAATATTCTATTCTCACAACATGACCAAATGGAACTAGTTCACAAAATTCTTGACTTTCAACTATAACTTGTTCCTGGTAATGTTATTTTTTTTGTGACAGTGTAGTAACTTTTTATTATAATATACTGATTACATTTTAATTATTGAATCTCCAAATTGACTTACTAGTTCATCTTCTTCAGAGTTATTGGCAAATTTATATTTTCCCCCTGGTAGAACAAACTTTTGTCCAGGAAGACGAAGATCATTGAGAACTTTCACTAAGAAAGGAGTCTGCGCTAAGCATTGTAGAACTGCATTGAAAAAACAAGTATTTCCCAAATTTGTTAGACCCTGGGACAGTAAAAATTTTATGCATTCTAATTATTGTGCAATAATGGTATACAGTACGCATATTAATTGTTTAAAATAACCTTTTTGCTTATTGATGTATGTTCTCAAATTTTATTGAAACTGATAAAATAAAACATTAGTAAACATAGAATATACATACTCCAACTTTAGGAAGATTATTTGAAGCTTTTCCTTTGTCTACATCTATTTCTACAGTCTCTTTCTGATGGTGAAACAATGCACTATTAGTTTGCATTGAATAACACTTTACCATAGCAGCACGTTTTATAAATTCAACTGGCTCTTGAACCTTCTTCCTAAAAATAAAAGTATTTATTTTCAAATGTAGAAGGGGACCACAATTTAGCTTCAACCTTTGGCTGTAGAATGAAACAGTTTAACTGATGGACTAGATAATACACTGCATTTTACATTATGAAAAATCAGAATCGAACTAGAGTTCCATCATGTACTTGGGTGAGTATGACATGAATTCAATGAGATAAGTTTACAAAACCTTGCAGTATATAATATTGCTAGGTCAAATAATTATTAGCAAGTTATAGTGTTACATGCAAATATGTTTGGAAATGTACATGTCTACATTTGTTTTCACACATACCTACAGTCAATATTAATTTTTGTATCACACCGATAACACCAAACACTCCAATAAAGAATGTCTACAGCTATGGAATGACAATCACTATGAGGTTTCTTATAGTGTTCAAACGCATGTCCAAAGTCTTCTCTTCGACAACCTTGGTGACCACATTGTAAGCAAATCAATGCTACAGAACTTTCTGCACAATCCTGAAATTATGTATACCCACAATTATGTATAATTATCTAATATTAATATAAAATATTTATGTAATATATAAGAGAAATACCTCTTCATTTGTTTTAAAAGAATTACTTTTATTTTTCTTACAACCTGGGCATTCCTTATTAACCCCCATCTTATTAATATACTTCTTAAGTTTATTGAAATTCACTGCTTTTGTGATATGTGGACATTTATCATCTGTGACAAAAAATCTATGTAATATTAATAGTTTTAAGTGAACTATTAAAACAATATGATTCTACAACTGCAACTGCTGTATATTCTTGTTTTTTTTAAATGTATTAGGGATAGCTTTTAGAACAATGGTATTAAGCTGTCAGGTATGCAATATATATGGAAATATAATAATTCAAAGATATTAATGCCAATTTATCGATTTCTCCTCAATCTGATATTAAATCAAATATGTCCAATATTTTGAATTAGATTTTTAACAATTGCAACAAAATTGGATATTGTAAATATTTTATAGATTTCACGTGTCAGTTGATTTTTTATCCGCATGTTTTAAATATTTAAATTCACAATACTTAAAATAGAAACTTGATACTGTGTCACATGGTGCAAATTATTAAATTAAATTACAAAATAATTATAAAATAATCTAATACATATTACACTGATTGAAACAAAGTTTTCTGTATCTTTTCCAGAAAGAACGGTAATTTGATGTAAGAGTCGGTTTATTCTTTACAAAATAATTTTCTAACCTGTAGTGTTGGATTCATCACAAGAATCAGTTGAACCATCGATCAGCTCTTCGTTTGCGTCTGGTTGTCGAATGCGTTTCTTACTCATCGTAAACAACTGCCAAATCGCATCGAATTCAACTGCTACAATTCTTTTGTCTGCTTTATTCCGTACCAATGACTTAGTAAATAAAAAAAGAAACGTACACTTGGTTATACGGAGAGTGTCTCAAAAAAAGTTCCAGTTAACCACAGCGAGTTTTAAAGATAATATAAGTATTGTATTGCACTTTTATTTCAGTACAATTAAAAGAGTTTCTAAAAATTACTAGATCCAATTTTTATTATTTAAAATATCTTAAGACAAGTAATATTTCTAAAAATTACTGTCACTTATTATTGCCTATAGAATTTATGCCCCTCAATATTAGTCACTAACTATTTGCAAAACATAGAAATAATGAATAAGCAGGGCTGACAATGTACTATTGAAACTTGTCGCAGCACAATGGCGACTCTATCGTCATGCGATAGGCGCCTCAATGGTCTATTCTGTTCCAGCCAAAGCTTGCCTATTGCTTGACTATAAATCTCTTATTTTACATTCTCTCAAATGGAATGCATTCTGAAAACATCATACCTTTATTATTGTTAAATAATCTACTAATTTCTTTTTATCTTATTAGTATACAATAATCACGAAAAAATTATACATGTCAACTTTATATATATACATATATATATATATATATATATATATATATAGATGTGAAATGGACAAGTCCCTTGTAGCGAATACTCTAATCATTAAAGTCTAATATCACCGACTAGGTATAGGATAGACCTATCATCTTATGGGACTTCGTGTCTCATGTTCTGAAATACCGATAGTGTAAAAAGTCAGGTATTTTCTGCTGCCCTCTACGTTATGAGAACGATGAATTTGTGAACTACGTTAAATCCATTCGAGCTCAACTAGTCTAATTTTTCTACAGTATCTACAGTGTTGTCTAGTCTAAAGCACACAAATCTTTCACAAAACAAAGCATTCAAATTTTTTCAATATTCTTAGACTTATTAATAAGAAGTCGTTAAAAATCACACATAATTATTATTCAGGTTACAGGATGTTTATTATTATAATTTTACAAGATTCTTACTTCACTTATAATTTTATAAGAAATATGTGAAATACATTAAACAATATTTGAAGATAACGCGACATCTATTTAAGCATTATTTAGGCATTTTTCATTAATAAATTCATTGTTCAATATTTTTGAAAGACAGTTCGAGATAGAAAAACAATATAATTTTCTGAGGTTTACAGAAGGCCGAAAAGAAAGAGCTTTATCGCAGACGCTTTGGAAATTTAAACATTACTTGACGTCCCTCTCTAACAGTCTTATACACTGCGCGTTCCGGCCTGGGCGTGCTGGGCGACAGAGTAGGGTACGCGCGCGTGTGTGAGAAATACGCGTGAGCAAGGGCATGGCTTTCGTACAGATAACGGTTGCGCGGGAAACAAATGTCCATTGTATTCCTACGATTACGATGTATCGGTAACATAGGGAGTGACACTAATATGATAAAAATAACTTTTCGAGTCGCCAAAAATCTTTCTCGCAATCATCATTTTTGTCAAAAACAACCTATTTTGAAAATTTCACCCAATTTGGAGCATGGGGGTTTTCGGAAGTACAGCCGTAGTATTTTTATTTCAAATTTCTTTTATCTTAGATTGTTAATTACAATATCACAGCAGCAAGAACTTTTTTTCAGAATGCACCATACGATTTGAACACTGTCTTTGCGTGCGATGTATTCATACTTTATCTGGCTTGTGGCTATCGCTGCACGTGACGACATTGCGCGGAGAGCGTATTCAACGCAAGTAGGGGTGATGACGTCGTAGGTCGTAGCTCGCGTTCACTCCATTCACTGACCGGCCGTCGTCGCGTGCAGTCGCAACGAGTCTGTCCTGCTTTCTTCTGAACATCGATACCGTTCCAGGATCTAACGGAATATCCCGGAAGTGTGGTTTGGACTCTATTGTCTCGTCGCCGAAGTGGACCCTTTTTTTACCGTCAATTCTTGTGTGACCGTCTATTCTTTCGGTTTGTTGTTCTTGTCGAAAATCAATATTAATCGGCGCGTTCCACGATCGAAACCTAGAATGTATTTATGAAAGACACTCACTCCGTGTCTGTCTTTCTTCTTCTTGCGTATTTATCTAGTGTGCTTTGTGTGTATGCGTGTGCGTGGCACATGCATGTATGATTTGTGTACATAGTGGTGTTTGTTCGGATCGAGAAGGTCTTTGGACGCGAAAGGATACGATCGATTGCGATTCGTGGAACGAGATATGACCGTCGCCGGAAAGGTGAGTTCTTTTTACCAATTCTTTCAATTTCTGTGCTGAGCTCGAGAGAATGAGGTTAAGTACAACTACATTTATTCTTTGTTCAAACAAACTATTTCTACCTTACTAATGTCACGATAATCCTTGAAATAAATATTCTTTGTTGTTTTCTCCCTATTGTATTCTATACTTTTATAATCGTAAAATTAAATGAGAAGATTGTTTTTGCACATCGACTGAAGTATACAACTATCACGGATGTGAATATAAGTTGACATATGAAGATACCATTACTAATTGTGAATAAAGTGTTAAGCATGAATGTTTTACAAAAATACATTAATGGTTAGAACATTCTTTAAACAATTATTGGACAACAAAGAATTTATTGTTTGATCGTTTAAAATTTTATGATACAGTGCATCATGGACAATATACAACAGTGCATTTTATATTACGAAAACAATTTAGTTTTAGTTGATAGCACTTATCATTTTTAAAATGTTTGAAATCAAAGTCTCGTGTCGAAGTGTCATGTATACTTTTGATTTTTTTGCTTTTTAAAGGAATTGATAGAAATGACTTTTTTGTGCAGCAACTTTCACATTCTTCGCGGCGCCGCGAACTTTTACAAATGCTCGAAGACATTTGTCAGTTTTAGAAGTATTTAATTCTGATTTCATAATCGAATTAGATAATACCACAAATTAGTATAATTTTATTTCTGTAATAAATGATGAATAGGAATAGTTTTTTATAATCCTACTCTGGTGCATAACAGATTGAAAACTTATTTAAATTAACACTAAATATTTTATGTATTGTAATTATCTATACACATTTTTACATAATGCATTAGCAATACTAAGTTGTTCTTCTTTATATATATGTAACTATTTTATTTGTACATACAACATATTATTTTATAATTGTTCATTTTGTAATTCTCAAATTTTTTTGTACGTTTTTTGAAACTTTTTATCTAGATACCAAATTATCCGTGTTTGATTAATTTTGACACATAATATTCGAGCATCGTTAATAAAATAGTGTAAGCAATAATGTAAATGAAAGTCTTTAGACGCCTACGTGAAAGAGAAAAATGTTTTGCATGCTTAAAGACTTCTATCGGGGAAAGTTAGGTCGGTATGGCTCAGTTATGGAGTTCGATAGAGAATAGACCTTTCATCTTATGGGAGTTGGTGGTCCACCTAAACTGTAGTACCGACACCTTAAAATTTAAAACGTCTGTGATTTTAGTGACCTCTACGTTATAAGAACGATAAATCAACGGTGGGTAGTAACACTAAAATGGAAATGGGGTAACGTAACCCCAGAAAAGTGGGCCGCAAAAATACATTGGATGAAATGTCTACTCCTACACCTCGGCTGTGATAGGACTAAAGAGAATGGATATTTAATATAGACAATATGAGTTAATATTGTTTTCACTAATACATATTATCGTAAGTGAAATATGTTTTTTAAGTTAGTAACCAATACAATATTTTGAAATGACGTATTAAATAACATTTCAAAAATAAGGTTTCAAATTTGTACTTTAATAATACTTTGTACAATCACTATGTTAAACAAAAAAGTATTTTGGGTCATCTTATTCTAGTACTGTTTTCACGCAATGTATTCATATAAAGCTACTGTCAAAGTCATACGATACCAGAGTTGGGCATAATTTTATTCGAATAATACACAGTGAAAAGCAGCAGTATTTAAGGGCGTCGTCCCGAGCTTTAAACAGTTAATGAGATTAAATAATTGTTCGACATATATCGACACATTCATAAAGAAATATTATTTTACTATAAAAATTGAAATTTCTACGTTTAAACAATTAAAAATAACGAAATATTTTTTTACCGTTTATTCGTTATTCGAAACTCTTTATCTAGATAACAAATAATTGAAATCGTTGAAATATTTAATGGAAAATTATCTTTTTTATATTTATGTATCTATCATTTCTGTTTCATTTTGTATTTCCTGTAAATATCTGCTGTAAACTCTTCGCACATCTCTGCTGTATGTTTGACATTATTTCTTATTATTCAACGGCCGAAGATAATCACGTGTTCGTGTAAAATACAGAAATGTCGTTCTTTTTTTCAAACTTCCACTTCTTTTTATTAAATCTCCCATTCCGCTATTTCCATTATAGCTCCATATTATTACAAAACTGCCTTCATGTTTAACGCTAAACACTACTACTATTATTCACTAGTTACTATACTACCAGTTATTATTCAACTTTTCATTCACTTTACGGCAAATGAAAATTCGCCACCTATATCTAAATACATACTTCGAATTAAGACTCATCGATCCACAATAACTTTCCCCAGTCTTCTGTTAGCCACTTTTGGTGATTTTAGAACATTGCAATCTTTTGGCTTTGTTTTGTGCCCTCAGAAGCGGTTTTCTTGCAACCACGCATCCCCAAAGTTTACATTCCAGAAATTGCCTTTATAGTTAATGTAACTTATAAGGATCGGTTCTGCCATTGTTGATACATACATAAAAAATTAATCCGCCAACATTGTCGAGGAAGATATTTATTTGTTAGTATTATCAGTTCAATTATCGAATCGATATAATATTTCTTTCTTCAAGCGAGACAAAAAAGACAAACCCGACAAATTTTATTCTTCAAATAGTTTCCAGTATGAGGCTTTGAAATCGATAATTAATCATTTCTTTTATACATGCAGTCGGTGTCAAAAGTATTCGCACACCCTTTAAAACGGTACAACTTTTTTAAAATTGGTCTTAATGACTTGAGTTCTTTTGTGAAGTTAGACATTAGTTTACTAAATGTGTAAAAAAAAATGGAAAAAGTTGCAATTGGTTGGAATGGCGAAGAAAATACTAAAGGTCGTTTTTTACAACTTTTTAATCTGAGTTAGTTATATACATGTTGAAAATTTCATCAAAACCGGTTAACGTTACTACGAGATGCAAACGATTAAAAATGTTGAAAATTGCAGTTTTTCGCGACTTGACCTACAAGTTATTTTTGACACCGACTGTACATGCTTTTACAGGCTGCGATACTACATCGTGCTTCTATAGACAACAAAAAAATAAATTTTTGAAAGTACTTGGAGAAAATAATAACTTGATACATGCAGCTTATCCTTTTAACGACTTAAATTCTTCAACTGAAATGAATTCGAATAATGAGTCTAAAATGTTACCGCCTGCAACATCTGCTGCAATTCAACATTTATATAATTTATTTTTACTGACAATGTGTTTTAAAATCTTTTAAAAAAATCTTTTAAATCTTAAAGACAAATCTTTTAAAATGCGTAAGACGCAGTTTGAATATTAAATGTAAGTGAACAAATATAAACAATATAGTTCTGCGCCTGGAGAAAGTTGATAACAAACTTTCTTAAAGAAATTTTGTCTCTTCTGGCTGAGAATCGCTGTTCCTAAAACTTTCTCCATTAAAGCCAACCGCGCTTGTCGAAGAAGTATGTCGTTTACGCGTTAACCAAACTCTCTTTCTATCGACACTACTTCCTAATAAATAGACAATGGCTGTTTCAACGTTTATACCATTTGTAAATGTGCAAAAATTAGTAAAATAAAAATGTGCACAAAACACATAACAAACACAATCAAGTGGTAGATGTGCATTTTGTCCTACGAGAAAAGATAGGAAAGAGCGAACAGCCAATTCTTTTATGTTCAAGGAGTCTCTGTGCCGAGTACCGAATTACAATCAGTTCAGATTCTAGAGTTAGCATAGGAACCTATTATTAACTCGAAAAAATTTCTTCTTAGCCAAATGTAAATGATATTTTCTGTTCATTAAGAATTATATACATATAGTGATTGGAATTGCCACAAAAGCATTATAAAGAAAGCAAATTGAACGAAGTACCGTTCGATCATATAGTCCAAAATAATTCTTATATTTTTATTTCATTTCATTAAATGAAAAGAACATACAACAGTTATATTTTCTTAAGACGTGTATAGAAGAATAGAAGAAGGCTTTTTTTAAAATGTTCAATGATATTTAAAATATTTAGATTTTATTTTGGGTCGTTTCCGACTACTAAGTAGCAATCGCAATGCGTAACCAATTCGACCGGCAGACACGCGCTCTGATTGGTCGGGGTTTTTCGTTAATATCTCGTTAAAAAAGACTCTGATAACATTTTTGCCAAGGAAAAAGTGGTTTCAAATCACCCTAGGAACCCCTCATTTTCAGAAGTCGTAGCTATTTTGGGACACCCTGTATAAAAGGTGTCTAGAAATAGTCCAATAGAACTACTTGAGCTCTAGAATTTTTAACCCTTGTGTGGAGAACCAAAATATTCACGGTTATTCAGCAATCGGAATACCCCTATTCTGACAGATTAGATGAACACAGATAATTTTACTTTCATACTTTTCCGAAACTCTAAGTTTTCTCTTCCTATAATATACCATGCGTTGTTTTAGACAAGAACATAAAAAATTGTGAAAAGAAATTTAGAAGTGAATACCTGGGTGGGTACCCGGTTGCCTACACAGGGGTTAAAGTGAAACGTACAATTAATATTGCAGTGGCACAATATGGCATTCCTTGAATTTATGAAATTTCAAAACATATTTTCTAACTGATAAGGATATCTTCTCTATGATACTTCTGAAAGTAACAGCAAAGTATTTGTAGTGTTATTTTGTATGTTGTCATTTTAAATAATGAATGTAATGACATATCAAAAATTGAATAACCTTTTCGGTTTCACTTGCAGAGATACGTGGACTGTACCGTTTTGGAAACTGGAAGCATTGCCGACGCAGAGGACTCTTCTTACGATAGCGATTACGAAGTTGAGGATTTAGTTGCATCCACGAACGCACATTCGCAAGTAGAACTGCAGGTAATTTCACTAAACATTGTATGGAGAAGACATTTTCAACTTTCCATTCCAGAGATTAGTTTTTCATACTTGGCTGGCAAGATATAACAAACATATGGAATTTTTTTGGTGACCGCGGAAGCATTTTTTCTTCAGAACTCTTATACATTTTCTTGTGCGATTGAAACTAATATAAATGCTTTACTTTCTAATCTTAGGTAATTTACCCTGTATAATAAAATAGTTTTGAAAAAATATATTTTTTTAAGTGCGAAGCATATATTTTATATGGAATCAATTCTTAAATCTGATTTTACATTGTAGGTATCGACATCAAGCCACTCAGACGTATCAAGGACCACATCGGATACTTTAGCTGCCGAATTTGCAGAATATGTCACGATTCAAGGAAGTCCACCTAATAAAAGTCCAGGTACAATATTAACTAATTGTGATTTTAAACTAGATTTTATTTAAAATTGTTAACTGCATTGATAGAATTAACTATTGGCTACGCGCCACCAAATGCAGCGCGTAGCCAACGTTACCACGGGAACTCAGCCGGCCGACTCGCGCTGTGATTGGTCGGGGTTTTTCGTTAATATCTCATTAACAAAGCCTCGGATAACATTTTTGCTAAGGAAAAACTTGTTCCAAATCACCTCACGAGTGCCCCAATTCAGGGACCTGCAACATTTTTGTTACACCCTATATATAAAAATTGCCCTGTATATCAGGGATACAAATACTACTGTATTAATTATCTGCGTACATTTTTAACACTTGCTATCTGTAATCTTGGTAATTATGAACTGAGTAAGTGAAAACCGTTACTTTTTAGGATACACAGCCAGAGTGGAATTTGCGTTGAAACTTGGATACACGGAACGTCTAGTACAAACTGCGTTACAAAAATTGGGCCCAGAACCGGAACAGAATGAACTTTTAGCTGAGTTGATAAAACTCGGCGCGAATTCCTCGCAAAAGTCAGAGGATGGACCAGAAGAATCAGATAACATTCCAGAGAAAGATGTGCCGAGCAAAGAAAGTGTCACCGGTTGTTCGACTAGTCTCAGGCCCGTTGTAATCGACGGAAGCAATGTGGCGATGAGTCATGGGAACAAAGAAGTATTTTCTTGTAGAGGAATCAAAATTTGTGTAGACTGGTTCAAAGCAAGAGGGCATGAAGAAATTACCGTATTTGTGCCAAAGTGGAGAAAAGAGGCTTCTAAAATTGATAACCCGATTGCGGACCAGGAAATTCTCGGAGAGCTAGAAAGGGATCGATTGTTGGTTTTCACGCCGTCTAGGTTCGTATACATATGTATTTATTTTATTCTATATCTATATTTGAATGACTTACGCTTTGATACGTCCCGAACACCGTATTCTTGCTTTGAATTTCGCGGGGTCCTAAGGCCCATTGTCGCTGGAGTGTAACGGTGACAGGAACATTAGTTTATTCAGTTTCTTGGCAAGTGTCGTCATCGTTTGAAACAAGTTTATCCTTAACAAAAATATTATCCGAGGCTTTGTTAACGAGATATTAACGAAAAACTCTGACCAATCAGAGCGCGAGTCTGTTATCAATTTTGTACTGGCGTAGAATGATCCGCTTTAAATAAATACTTTTCTTCATATTTCACATTAGTTAAATAAATCCAATTGAAACATCGTTCTCGAAAAGCTTGAAATTTTTTATTTCAGATTAGTTGGCGGTAAAAGAATGGTCTGTTACGATGACCGTTACATCTTGAAATTAGCAGCCGAAATCGATGGGATTGTCGTGAGCAATGATAATTACAGAGATTTAGCGCAAGAAAACCCGGAATTCCGAAAAGTTGTAGAAGAAAGAATTCTGATGTACACTTTTGTGAATGATCGTTTTATGCCACCGGACGATCCATTAGGTAGAAGTGGCCCCACTTTGGACAACTTCTTAAGGATTTCTCCGAAAAAATTGGATCCAGCTCCAGCCTGTCCATATGCAAAAGTATGTAGAGCTTTATATTCTTATATTGAAACTAACAACAAATTTTGGAATATCTTTAAATAAATATATTAACAGTTTGTGGTCCTCCGAGGGCATCGAGCCGTAGCGCTAATTTTGACGTTACAGTCCACGTTACGGAAAGCTACCGAGATTCTCACATGTCTATGATTGAATGTAGGTATTTTGGAAGAAAATATAATACAGTCGCAGCATGGTAACGATAAAGCAAACGTAAACATGATAAAAAATCAGTCATGAATCAGAAAGTAACAAATATGGACAGTGTAAGTGAGCTACACAAAAGCGCAGAAATTTTATTTAATAAAGCTTTGTACAGTGATGAAGATATAATAAAGTAATAAATAAATAAAATAGAGAGAACACTTTATTTTATTTATTTATTCATTTATTTACTTATTTAGTTATTTGAATGTTTTATTATACAGGATGTTAATTAAAATGCGGAATACTTTCACAGGGTGAAATATACTTGGCGCGATAGGTTATACTACTCGAACACCGATTTTCAGCTGATATATGGGCTCGATTGATGACTTAGTGAAACTAATGAATGAAGTAAAATGAAGTGAATGAAATCAACTCTTGAAACAGTTGAAGAGAGCGCTTCTCAAGTAGAATAACCCGTCGTGTCAGACATTTTATGCGTATTTTGTTCATATTTTCAACGATTAACTCGGAAACGAAACCTCCGTAAATGTCCCACATTTTTATTAACACTTTGTATATTCATTAGTATTATTATATAAAATAAAGATTATGCTTTATTTTGTTATATAAAAGTCTTAAACAGTGATATTTCCAGTCTGAAACATTGAGTGTGCTCATGTTTGACTTTTGTTTAGTTAGAAATAGACTGCAAGGTTTGATAAGAAAGTTTGAGGACTTATGTATGAATCCTTTATTATTAATCTCAACAATAATTACATTGGATCACCTTCAAAGTAATCTCCTTCTACCCTCATACGCCTTTGAAGTATTTTTTTTTCAGTTTTCGAAAGCAGCGTGTTAAGCGGATGCAGGAATGAAGAGTAACTCTCACTGTGATTTTTTACCTTTTTAATTCCAATTGCGAAAGCATAGTGCATCGTAAATTTGTACCCTATATTACTTCAGTAAATGAGATATGATATCGAGGTTTGCTCCAACTTTTACGTGAATATGTTTGGAGGAAAAGGCTATAGTATTTTGCTTCTCTATAGAAAACAATATAGATTTTATTCAGGATAGATTAGTCCTTTATATTCGTGTATTACTTACTAACGAGCATTACCACCGATTGTGAAGCATCACTTTTGGGACGAATAATTTGAACACCATAAATGTAAAATAAATAATGTTGAAAAAGTAATGACATGTTCATTTGTTATAGAAATGCACGTATGGAAATAAATGCAAATTTCGGCATCCAGAAAGAGGACCTCATCCGCAAAAATCTGTCACAGAAAAATTAGTGGAACATGTACAGAAACATCTTCAGGCAAGAAGTTCGAATTCAAACCCTTCGTTGCCAAGCAGCACATCCTACAGAACGCCTACGCATCAACCTCTTTGTAAAAGCAGATCGACGGTAACCAGTAGTGTTCAGCCGGCGACGTCAGTTACAAAAAGTAAATCCGTAGAAAATGTTGCGATCGAACAACCAATCAACCCTGGTGCGCATGGGTCCCAAGTAACACCAACAACAAGTTCTCAAGGTAACAGCTAGAGTTGCTCATAGTTTTATTTTCAGTAGTTATGTCATTTCCATATATGGTCTGTACATGATCCAGGTAGTATTTAAGTAAAATTCTTTTAATTCTATTACCTCCTGAGTGTGTAGTGATAAAACAACTATGTATGGTAATATCAGTTTTGATGAAGATATAGTAAGTTGTAGTGGCATCAAAAATATGGGTAGCATATCTTTTATAGCTTCGGTAACTTAGGTTAAAGGACTGAAACTACCTGTAGAGTTGAGGTTTGGAACCTTCTAGTTCAAACAATTAGAAAGCAAACAGGAACGGGATGAAATGTTAAATACGACAATTGGTTCACGTCTCGAGAGCTTCTTATTAGGTCTACCTGAAAGTTCTGTTCGATTTCAAGTACCTTTGTACTTGGCTCCTAGACTTAAACGATGAAGATGGTCTGAAATCATTTGTTATGCCACACCTAACTTCTTTTCTGTCATTTTTGGGGTGAGGAACGTCTCATTTTCTAGTATTCTTTGATACATGTTGTTGTCCAATTGCGAAGATTCTCTACAGGCGGCTTGATCACAATCACAACCGATCTTCATATTTTATTCAAGTTTGAACAGAATGCTTTAGTTAGTTATTGTTCTTTAATTGGTAGGTTATCCAGCTTCAATGTGGACAGCAGGAAGATTAAATCAATCAGATGTAGAACCACCGAATCCGCACAGAAAACTACAAAGACAGTTGACATTAAATCCAGTCTATGATCCTCGACTTTGCCAATTGAGGCAATATCAACAAGTGTCGCAGACGGGTGCTGTGCCCCAACAGACAGCAGCTACTTCTTCGCGACCGCAACACAGACCTTTAACTAGACATTCCAGTAATGAAGCACCTTATAGAGTTGGTGTAAAGTAAGTTTTTTTTATTATCTTGTTCTTATTTCTGGAAGTACGTGGCAACAAAATAAACCCTTTGCACTCTGACTATCCCTTTTAGGCACAATAAATGTAAATTGACTTACTGCAATATAACAATCACAGGCAATCAACTTCAAACACATTTTGCAATAGAACAGTAAAATTAATCTGTGCATTCATGTTCACAACTTTTACACGTATAATTTATTAAAAAAAAATTGACTTAGAAACTAGGATTCTATTGTTATTTCTATGATTGGTCAATGAATATGCTAATAAGTCAGAGTATAAAGAATAAGATCGGATGAACTGATAAGTGTAGATAAAACAATCAAATTTTTTCAGTATTTTAGATCGTTCTAGTAGATGTTATCTTGTTCGATTGTATTGTAGTTGGGATCACTCAGAAGGACAACAGTGTCATCAACATGTAACACGTATTGCTTCGGCACCAGATTCGTACCAGACTTGGCAATTAAGTAATTCTAACATGGGATCAGGAACAGCATTAGGATCAAATCAAAGATTGGGAGCCTCGGACCCACAAATCAGTCCCATTGTATCACCTCTATATTCAAGCATGCGTTCAGACATGCTGAGAGAATTGTTAGACACTAGAACAAAGATACATTATCACTTGGCAAGTATTTTTCCCGAAGAACATGTAAGGATGGCTATGCTTCTTCATCCTTTTGAAACAGATCCAATTGGAATCTGTGCTGCTGTGTTGAAAATGTATCCCCAATAACGTAACAAGTAAGAATCATATTGTTTGTCTATTTAGCAAATTTATATTTATTATACAAGTACATTAACACAAGCAAGAACTTTATAGAACATATGAAAAGGAAAACGTAGACAAAATTTGATTGCTTACGAGATGAACGAATTTTTTATTGCTAATAATATTAGAATAAGTGTATTGTACATATGGAACAAGCTTTTCTATACTTTGAGTACATTAAAACAAATGTACAATTTATTTACTAAATCTTGTTAATACCAGAATTCTTGGTGGAAATGCTGGAGTGTGGTCGTAAATTCAACCGAGAGTTAAACTGCTCGTATTTTGTACGCTGCAATAAACGAATTAACAAAAATATAGTATGTTAAGGGTTGAACGTCACTCAGAATTCTATGAACTGTCTGAACTGTGTTTGAGTTTGATAGTTTCTCTATTTCAATTTAAGGTCTATATTTACTTAAGCAGAGAAAAGGCATCAACATTAGAAATGTTCACTAAAACGTGTAATCTTACAGATAGCAATGCGACTACAGTAAATCATCGATGAGTGTTCGAAGGCTCCTCAGCACTGAATATTAAATATTTCACAAACTAATTTCCTTATGCGGCTAAAACAAATATCATTGACTTCAGAATTGCGGGATCTATCAGTGTGTGCTGAATCTCATTAAAAAGCCAGTGTTACACCTGGGGACCGCTTCATCTATCAATCGCAGCGCATAGCCAATTGATTGGTCAAGGTTTTTCGTTAATACCTCGTTAACAAAGCCTCGAATAACATTTTTGCTAAGGAATAAGTTGTTTCAAATCATCCCAGGAACCCCACATTTCTGGGAGCCGAAGCTATTTTGGGACACACTGTATATAAGGAGGATAAGAAAGGATAAGGATAATGATTATTTTTATTAATGTATTGAAGTATTTATAAGTTACTTGAGAGAATAGTAATTAAATTGTTCCAATTGATACCATTTTTTCAGTTAAAAATTGTGTATTTAAATGTTTTGTAACATTAACCTTTAATGATTAATAACTGAATCAAGAATTTGTATGATTAAACACGCTACTCTTGCTTGCTTGGAAATGCCCTGTACAGTGTACAGCTTCAATTATTTCTTCATCTGTCAAGGTGTGTAAGCTATCAGCATGGACTACTTCTTTCTGTTTTTCAATTTGTTGGCACATTTCATGGATATATTGCGTACTTATACCATCCGAATTGTCTTCCACGGCCGGCACGTTTAATAACAGCTTCCAACAATTGGAAATTGTCGTAGGACTAATCTGAAGACCCCGCGTCATTAACTAACTATTGCATTTTTAATACAGAACGAATTTGTTGCTTCCGTATAATTTGGTCCACCATATTTAGTATTTATAACTTAAGTTATTACGTTTGTTTCATACCTCTTCTTCATAGCGCCATTAATTATTTGGTCAAGCGACTGGTGACGTTTGGTGGAAAAAATATTACTCTGATTTCACCAACATTTAAGAAATTTACTGCCAGATGCGATGTGGCATTGTCCAGTAATAAAATTGCTTTCTCCGGTAAGCTTTTCGATTTTAAAAACTTGAATACTTCGGGTACAAAATCTTCTTTAAATCATTTTTCGAATAGGGCGCCAGTCATCCAAGTTCTTTTTTGATTTGTATATTTCGCGGGTAATAAATGCGGCCCTAAATTCTTCAATGCTCGTTATTTGTTATATTTTCCAATCATCAATAATAGTAATTTGAACGAACCATCCATATTACAGCACGTGAGTACAATTAGTCGGTCTTTTGTTTTTCGGTGTCCTGGAGTAGAATGTTCCATCTGGTTCCATCCTAGAAACTAACGTTTTGTTTGGCATAATTTTGTAGAATAATCCTGTTTTATCGACATTGAATATTTCAGTGAAAAATAATTTAACCTCTATAAGTAATAATATTTCTTCCTTAAACTCGTTCGCTGCTTCGATATACGCAGATAATTTTTCCCCTGAAGCTGTTAGAAACCGAATGCCGTTTTTTCTTTTCCAGTGTTTGAACCATCCGTCACTTGTTACGAATGTCTCAGTTCCACCGAATATTCGAAACAACTCTTGAACTTTCACTGTAAAAATTTATTTTATAATTACTTATAGCAAAATCATGTTGTACTACAAAATTGAAAGTAAAATTTTTATGTTTAATCTACATTTAATGTATTGCAAAATATTAAAACAATATGTACCTTTTACTGGCTAAACTTCCGAAAACCCCCATCCTCCTCCAATTGGATGAAATTTTCAAAACAGGTTGTTTTTTGACAAAAAGGATGATTACGAGAAAGATTTTTGGCGACCCTTTGAAACATCGTCGAAGGTCTCCAGTCTGACCGCACTTGATCGGTAGTCTGATCGTGAGTGCCTTAGGAGTTAGGACTGTTAAGAGTATCGTTTGACTAATTGCAATTGTTAATAAAATTGCATCCTCTGTATGTGTTTGATGTTAAAGCATTAATGCATTCGGTACAATGTACACGTTGTTTTAATTTTCTTAATATAAATCCCGCAATATACGTGATCACCTCGTCTTTATATTCAGTTTGCGATAATGATGGTTGTATATACGGTACATAATCGTGGTCATTATTGTGTGTTCTGAAAACATCGAGCCATTGTTCTAATTTTTTATGAAAATCAATTAGATTATAAGCAATAATTTCCACAGTTCTTGGTAACGTATAAAAAAATATGTCGAAAAATTACAATTGGTTTGCATCGCGAAGAAAATAATCAAGATCTAGTCAATAGCGATCGATAACTCAATAGTTCGAGCGAATCACTTGAAGTGACTAATTCAATCGATTGAACTGAGTTGCTTGAAGCATAGACATATATAGACGGAGCATTAACTGAGCGGGGGAGTAAGATTCGCGGTAAGGGGGTGGATAGTGGTAGATCGGGTAACTTCGTTCCTTTTCAGTGCTATTCGGTTATACAATCACGTTACATGCATGTATGCTATGAGAGATGAAAAGAATATACTTATATACGTTAAAAATTCCGTATGTTATGTAGTTTGTATAGATGTATGTATTTAACAAAATTAATAAATAGTAAAAGCATTAAATAATAATACGGCCCACAGTCCACCAGTCATTAATAACGAGTCGAATCGAGCCGAATGCATCTAAAGTTAACGGACGTACCTCAAACGATCGCTGCCTTTTCCCCTCGAATTCTACGGTCTCCTTGCCGACAGTGGTAGCTCCGTCTATATATGTCTATGATCCCTACCATAAGATGGCGCAGCTATTATATGTATATGTATGTCTATGGAGTTGTAACTGGTTGTAACATGAGCAACCTAAACGTCAAACAACGTCAAACGTCAAGTAGTAATTCAATTTTGAGGATTTTGATATTACAACGTGTAGGTATAGTGTCAAGAGGCGTGCGTTTGGTAGCTTGTGTAAAAAATACCCAATTGTAAACATGTCATCGGCGCATTTGTCAACTGGTCGATTAAATGTGGGTATTATACAAAAACAAGCTAGAAAACAACTACTTTGCTTACTCGAAAAATGTGATGGTACAAAGGTATTAAAATTTTTTACATCGGTTATGAATTTTGTATACATTATTTAAAATTATTATTTCTCTTGTAATTCTTATAGTTCAATCATTTTGAGAGATGATTATAAATTTTATAACTATCTTACTCAGTTATACTACATAGAATGTTAACAATATTTTTAATAATATTTTAATAGGTAATTATATGGGATCAGTCTCTTGCAGGACCAATTGGTCTTGTTGCAAAGTATAATTTGCTTGAGGAACATGAAGTAGTTAAAATGTATCCATTATGTGGTGGAAGTTTGACAATACCATCAAATATTGTTAATATAATATTTATTACTAGGCCTCAATTGGGCCTCATGGATTTAATTGCTGAAAATATTCATGGGTAAAAGCTAAATAAAAAACATAAGTTTTAACATTGAATCTTTTTGCATGTATATATTAAAGCTTACATGCCATATAATTTTCAGTGAGGTAGAGAAAAGGCCACGCAAAGAATTTCATCTCTTTTTTGTACCTCGAAAAAGTCTCCTGTGTCAAAAAAAACTTCAAAATCGAGGTGTCTTTGGGAATTTTACTCTAATAGAAGAGTTTAAATGTGACTTGTTTCCCTTCGATAATGATCTTTTGTCCATGGAACTTAGTGGATCATTTAAGGAATTTCATTTAGAGAATGATCCGACGTGCTTGTACCAAGTAGCACAAGCCATTCATGGTTTGCAAAGATTATATGGAAAGATCCCAAAAATTACAGGAAGAGGATCTGCGGCTAGTAAAGTTTGGGAATTATTAGAAAGATTAAATCGAGAAGAGGAAGATATTAAAACAACATCTGTACAAACAACTACGATAGAACATTTATTATTACTGGATCGATCTATAGATTTACTTTCACCTTTAGTTACACAGTTAACATATGAAGGATTAATAGATGAAATTTTTGGCATAAAATGCAGTAAAGTTTTTTTATATTTGCAATTTAAAAGGTATTTTTATTATTTCATTAAACTAAGATATTTCATTTGTCATTATTTCAGATACTGTTCAGTTGCCAGCAAAAAGATTTCATGATTCTCATGATTCTAAAGATTCTCCAACAACTATGTCTCTTAATGAAAAAGAACAAATCATACTTAATTCTGGAGAAGAACTGTTTGCAGAAATAAGGCAAGTACTTTTATGATTCATTATAGTTCCATATTTTATAACTCTCATCTTATTACAGAGACAAAAACTTTAATGGTGTAGGACCAGCTCTTAGTAAAAAAGCTAAAATTATTTCATCACAATTTGATGAAAGACATAGAGATAAAAGTGTACAAGAGATTAAGCAGTTTGTAGCTCGGTTGCCACACATGTTAGCTACTAAGCAATCATTAGCAAAACGTATGACACCCCAATTTTATTTATATTCGTTAATAATTGTATCAGCGATTCTATTTTAATTCAGTTTACTTTTAGACACAACAATAGCAGAAATGATAAAGGAAGTAACAGATTCAAGTAACTTTTTAGAATCATTACAAGTTGAACAAGAACTGTTAAACTGTATTGATACAGATAAACCAAATGCTTACATAGAGGATATGATAGCACAACAAGAATCACTTCTTAAAGTTTTACGGCTTCTTTGTATACAATCTCTAACAAATTCTGGACTTAAACCAAAGTTATTGGATTATTATAAAAGAGAAATAATACAAACATATGGATATCACCATTTACCAACTATATTAAATTTAGAAAAGGCTGGATTATTGAAACAGCAACAATCTACTCGTCAATATGCAGTTTTACGAAAAGCATTAAGACTTACAGTCGAAGATGAAAATGAAATTGCACCAAAAGGTATTAGTTATGTTCATTCCATATATGCACCATTAAGTGTACGGTTAGCAGAGCAACTTGTGCAACCAAATGGTTGGCAGGGTTTAAATGATGTAATGGGTTTACTACCAGGACCCACTATTAGTAGTGTCCCAGTTAATGTTCAATCATCCGGAAAAAGTAAGTTTATTAAACAATTATTATTATAAGTTATAATCATCCTACATAATACATTATTTTTAGGAAATTCTGTCACTAGTGAAGATTCTAATTCTGAACGATCAAAGCTGGTAATGGTTTTTTTCATTGGGGGATGTACATTTGCAGAAATTTCTGCTCTTAGATTTTTGTCTCAACATGAGGATTGTAAGTAATATATTACTGAAGAAAGTATCAAAGCGAATTTCCTATTTGCAACTACAGTGTATTTTAGAACAAAAATTTCTGTTTGCAGCAAATGTAGATTTCGTTATCTGCACAACGAAGCTAATAAATGGAAACACATTCTTAACGTCATTAATGGAAAATTTAGATAGTACATAATGTATCATACATGAATATATTTATGCATAATATTGTTATATGTACTTGTTTATACTTATATTTTGTTAATGATATTTATACATTTTTCAGACGTATACATATATGAATTCATACAGTAAAAGACGAATTTAGACTTGTACAAAAAGAATTCTCAATTTATATCCTTTATTTTTTTATACTTACTTTTCATACATTTCACATATAAAATTTGTGTATATATAAATTACATTAAGTTATATGTATATTATCAATCAAATGTTAGTCTGATTTGTATATTTTTAGTTAATGATACAAAGATAATCTTATTTTTCTGTGTCACACTTTATTATTATGAATTTTATATGTGTATATAATATGAATATGTACATACATAATTATCAAAATCTATTCTAACATAAAAAAAAGTAGGATGAATTGAGTTTACTTTAATACATGAAGGCAAAGTTTGTTTAGTGAAATAATTTATACAGTTCCATTTTTCAAATAAATTAAATTATGAAAAGTTTTAGTACATTGGATTCCAGTTAATTGGGTCACATTGGGACCAGACTACTTTGTCCCAATAAAGGGAATTTCACCAGATGAAATCTGAATAAGGTAAAAAATAAATCCAAAAACGATTTATTGAAAAACACATAATATTCGGTGTTATATACAAAGTATAGCAACAAAAACTATACAAGTTATAAACAAAAAGCTATCGATAGAGCTGCGATGACAGAATTTTGGACCTCTTTTTATTTCATTTACGCTGCCCTTTCCTACGTTTGAGCCGTATCAATACTTATAATCAGTATCATTACTTCAGAACAAGCTTTACTGTATCTCCAACCGTAAACTGTACGAGCGTTATTATTTCAATTGTTCGTTGTTATTAAGATATCTGACCATTGAATATTATAAAACAGATCAGGAACAATTCGTTGGTACCATAATATTTGTGTAAAAAGACCATTTATTATCTATTTTGCAGACAACAAATTTTTGCTGTTTTATTTGCAAATATCTCATTAAATATAATAGTTATGATAGGGGGCAATTTTACATTCCGAGGGAGCAAATTGGAAGCAATTTTTTAAGATAAAAATTGTTAAGAAATACTAATATCACCGACTAGGTATAGGATAGACCTATCATCTTAGGGGACTTCGTGTCTCATGTTCTGAAATACCGATAGTGTAAAATGTCAGGGATTTTCTGTTGCCCTCTACGTTATGAGAACGGTGAATTTGTGAACTACGCCTCAATTATCGAGCTTCTACTGTATACTCACTTGTTTTACTGCTGAACAGGCACTAATTCAGTGATTGTGAGTGGTAAAGTTAAATGAGTAATAATGCCACAACAATTCTTCAGACAAAAATTTTATATAACTTATTTATTGTACCTAAGATTGATTATTTACAATATACATATGGACAATATACTGGTCACATACAGTAATCATAACTTACTATATCTGACTTTCTGTTTATCTTGATGACCATAATATTCATTAATAATAAGTTTACAAAGAAACAGATGAAACACAAATATAAGAAAACAAATGCTAACCCAAAAAAGTGTTGGTAGCCCACCAAGTTGATATCCATGTTTGTGTAAAGCCATTACAAGGTGATCGTGTGCAGGAGCTATAACAAAAACAATATTGTGTACGTTTTACTTGCAAAATAACGCATAAATGTACTAACCATCGTTTACTGCATGAACGTGCAACGCATTTCGCAGATCTTGCATATGTTGATGATCAGATGTTATATATAATATAGCCGTCAGTGGTTTTGTTAATTTCACAGGAAAATTTGTATATGACTGACTTAAAGAGACAGGCGCATCTAAACAGCCTGCATCGCAGCCAAAATAGACGCTGTCACTTTTATCTAAAGCTACTCCTAAAATTGCCCGATTATCTTCTCCGACTGTTACTGATATATTTAAATGAGTTACATTACCGTAACTTATTTTTCTAAAAACAGAAAAAAATTCAGTTTGTATAATAATAAATACAAAACAACTGTATAATAACTACATACAGTACTTTCATTGTATACCTGAATAAATAATCTCGATGAAGATACTGTGGATCAATATTAAATTCAAGGTGTTGATTGCTAAATCGTAGACTGCCAAGGCTTAGAACAATTGCTTGTTGTACTGCTGATGGATCACCTGTCATTAAATGATGGCACCCTTGTTTTTCCAGAGTAATTAACCATGCTTCAACTACATTGTTCACACCATCAATAGTAGATGTATCTTTCCATAAACGTGGTGCATCTCTAAGATATTATAATGGGATATACATTCTACAGAGATATATTTTTAAAATGCTGTGTTACTCACAAAGTATGATGTCCACGATAACAACCTTCATTCATAGCTACATTTTTCTCTACATCTCGGATACCCTTTGAAACGTGAGACAGCACGTAATAAATAGTGGAATTTATTTTGTCACCATTAATAGCACCATCGGCTTTGGAATCGCTTATTCTAAGACTCGTATACCAATAACTTTGCCAAAGGTTACTATGACTAGTTTTCAAATTTCGTTTTTGAATTCTGATTACTCTTTTCATTGCCTAAAACAAATTCTAATTACCTAAACTATGCATACCATAATTTTACATCTTACTATTTATACAAACCTCAATAGCTTTCTTCTTTGTCATTTCATACTGCGTATGATAATCCTCAATAAATACAGGTTCGCTGTATTGTATACTTGTGAAGTACTTCAGATTTACAGTACTTCTTGCTTTAACTTGTATTATTCTTGGAGGGACTTTGTAAAGTATTGCAACAGTTACAACCTTATTTGAATTAGGCAGTGGAACAAAACCGGAAATTAGGCTGTACTCATGTTTAAAATCATCTACTTGAATTCTGGACATATAAATACACGTTCTTACCGTTTGCGTTATACTAATATAACATGAAAGATTTAAATTTATACCAACTGAACAACTACTTTATTTTCAGAAATAGTTTGTCGTTGGTAGATTTTGTACTCTGAAGGAATTCTTTTTGTCTCTACCTATAAACATCAAGAGGATCTTAACTTTACTACTCTTGTTTAAAGAAGTGATAAATATTATTCTAAGTATAATCTACTTGAAATTCCGAAAGTAGAAAATCAATTATCTTTCAAATTTATTTAAAATATTTTCAAACAAAAATAATTACAACAGTTAAATTAAATAAAATTTCTAAATAAAATACATATATCACTGAAGACTACAACATATCCAAGTGTCAATAAAATCCGTAATGTTACTCCAAAAAGTGTCCGATTTCGCGTGGAAGGATCCCATAACATAATATGTTTTCTGAAAACAATTCATCTTTGTTGCATGTTTTTTTTCCGCAAAAAATAAAGAAGTTATTCAGATATGCTCTGCTCATAATGTTTTTAATTACTCATTCATTTAATATCGGTATGTTTAGCGAACTATCAATTTAACATACTCATGTTAAATACCCATTTATTTTGACCCTTTGAGAAGATAATTGTATAACATTATTTTATGACTGTGTTAAATTGAAAGTTCATTAATATTATAAATCAATTTCATTAATTACTTAATTGATTCCATGCGAGCGTTGCTCCAATGTGCAGATACTTGAGGCTTCAATGGTACATTTTGGGAAAGTGAAAATGGATTCACTATCTTTATATGTTGAACCATTATTGCATCAAACACTCTGTGAGCATAATACTGGAATTCTGTGTAATACTTGTCTCTGAGGCACTGATATTGATAAACAATTCCATTTGTAAAATCAGTAACCGTAGCTTCCTTATGAAAGTTCCCTTTGGATAAAGGATGTGAAATCAATGGTTGCCATTGCACTTGTAAGGATAATGCTCGTCCTCGTTTAATGTATAACCAAGCATCAGGTGAAATTGGAATGCCAAAAATTCCATTGCCAATATATGGTAAATAACGTTTATCTGTCTCCTTTGGTGGATTATGAAGTATATTTACATTATACTCTTCAGCATCTAACCGAAATGGAGCCAGCCTTTCACTGAGACAATACTCTTCAAATGCTGTAAAATACATATACCTTTATACATAACACTATAATATTTGATAAATTTTTAAGTATTTTCTTTAAATCACTTTATCTTCTTTTCATTTATAACTAGTGTTGGTAGTAATAAAACCATTTCTTTATATACAAGAATATATATTTAAAATAGTATACAGGGTATCAATTTTAACTCGAGCACCTAAATTATTTCCGTTACTATTTAAAGTAAGAAAACATGACTAAATAGGATGTACATAGTTTTAAGGCGTGCATCTGATGGTGATAAAATGTTTTTTACTTCTTATTACGTTTATTTACTTCTGCATTCTTCAAACTGAAATTGATTTCTTTACCTTCAAGGTCATGGTGTGCAGGTCATTGAACTCTTCTTGACATCGGCTACCACAATGAGTTATAAAAAATACATGTTAATATACAAAAAAAAAAAAAAATAAGATGACCTTGAAAAAACCGTTAAAATGACCATCACAGGATTTTTTTTATCGACTTAAAACTATGTACATCCTATTTAGTCATTTTTTCTTACTTACAAGAGTAGCGGAAATAATTTAGGTGCTCGAGTTAAAATTAACACCCTGTATAATAATTATTAGAAAATATACTGAGTATTAATCAAAATGTAGGACGATACTTTCACATAATCAATTCTACATTTCTAACTAAAACGAAAATCAAGAATGATGAAATTGCGTTCGAGACTTCGATTTCGACTTATTAATTGTTGAAAATACGGGCGTAATGCGCGTAAAATATATCGGACACGACGAGTTATTCTACTTGAAAAACGCGCTCTTCAGCTGTTTTACAAGTTAGTTTCATTAATTTTAATTTATTTAATTCATTAAATTTAATTTATTAAGTCATCAATCGCACACATGTATCAGCTGTGAATCGCTTGTTCAAGTAGTGTTGGTTTTAAGGGATTTAAATGACCAATGCTTTCCCTCTCTTATGACGTTTATATGAGCGAGAGATGGCGCGTTTTCCGCTTCTGCGTATGCATAGACATATACAGGGTGTCTCAAAATAGCTTCAACTCCTGGAAATGAGGAGTTCCGGGGATGATTTGAAACAAGTTTTTCCTTAGCAAAAATGTTATCCGAGGCTTTGTTAACGAGATATTAACGAAAAAGCTACCAATCGCAGTGCGTAACCAACGCTATCGTGGAAGCTCGGCCGGCAGACTCGCGCTCTGTTTGATCGGGGTTTTTCGTTAATATCTCGTTAACAAAGCCTCGAATAACATTTTCGCTAAGGAAAAACTAGTTTCAAATCACCTCACAAGTCTCCCCTTTCTGGGTCCTTCAACATTTTTGTAACACCCTGTATAATAAAAAATGAAAGTTCCCGTTTTAAAATTTTAATGTAATCTTCACAAAACGTTTCAAGATTATCGCAAGGTCAAAGAGACAATAGTATACTATATCCCCCTTGATATCGTACAATTTTTATCTGAAAAATTTTTTCCTATCGTTCATATTTTTCGAGATATTCGAGTATTCTCAGGTACACTGGACACACTGTATATGGCAACTGGCACACCGTTGTTTTTGCAATAAAAAATGCAATCTCTTGTGTTATGTATATAGTCCATGTGTTTTTTAAAATAAATGTAATTTACGCATTTGTTTAAAACATTTTTGAAATTTGTTGTTAATTCTAACATGTCGGAAACTATTCAATTTCAGTTAGAAAACTTTTTTCTATCTTCAACTGTTTTCAAGTTAGCTCTGAGGGGGTCGAACTTTGGAGGATGGTTTCACCCCTTAAACGTGAATTACCGCAGCTCCAAAAAAAATGTATATACTATTTTTGACTGTTCTTCAAGTCTACAAAGATTCATACAAATCGGAGCCAGACCGTTCGCGACCTTTCCTTGTTTACTAACATAAGATGATATTTACAATTAAGTATAACCGATACCCTAACTATGATTTGAAATCTGTTCAACAACCTTCCAGCCATGCAGTTCTTAGCATTAAATAACTAAATAGAAGAATCGTTCTGCAGTATTTAGCCTCAATTTCTTTCAATCAGATGGCATTATAATTTAATAGGGACTGTGAACCCCAGGGTTGAAAATATTGTTGTAAAACAAAACAAAAATTATTTAACACTATAAAGATTTTATTAGTGTCAGAGAAAAAAGAACAATAAACATAAAAAAAATACTGTAGGTAGCACAACAGTCTAGAATCTATGACCTGCAGTGCTGTAGTCAAATATCTTACTGCTATAACTACTCGATGTAGTTGAGAACATACCTGGTGCAACTCATTTACACTAATTGTAAGCAAACAAATTTTTATACTGCAATATCTAAAAATGAAGACTCATTTGGGTAAACCCCATTAGGGTTTTGTGATATTAGGTATCCACTACAATTTGCACCTTGTATTGTTCCAAAATCGATTTCAATCCCTGTGCCAATCCCTTGTAAGACAAAAACAAAAGTAATGAAAGATTAAAAATAAACACTTTGTATGTTATCTTCTTTACACAACTTAGAGGTACTTTAATTTTAATATAGAAGAATGAGACTTGTATATTACTCTGATTTCTTTTGTTTTCTTCATAGATTACTTAATTTGTAAGACACAGAAATGACACAAAAGGTACATACAACACATTTATAATAAATCATAAACATAATCTTGTTATCTACACATTGTTTTGCGTAAACATCATTTTTATAATAGAGCAAAGGTAAAAACGATTTAAATTGTGTAAATTAAATTTAATTACCTTGCGTTGATTCTCCAGTAGAAGAAAATAGCCATTGTGCAAAAGGTGGACCAAAGTAAAGCAATATGCCACCGCAAATGATAATTAGGATAAGAATCTTCCGATATGAATAATTTCCATCAACCAACCGACGTATTCGTTTTCCAATTTCACGGCTATCGAACATTGTTCCAGTTCTCATTATAATTACTATCTGATTTATGCACTTCAGTCTTCGTTCGTCTCTTAAGGTATTCTTTCAGCTTTTGAAGATTGCGCGGTAACATAACCTTTTCGGTTCTAGTAGCTTTGATATTATGAAAATTAGTTAATATTCTATTAAATCTTACTGCTTCTTATTTTTCCTCATAAACACTATATATTTTTGTACACATTTGACAAGGCATGTTGCATCAAAATACATAAAATCAACAACACTCTTTGGAACTGTTTTTCGACCATAACAAACTTTATACGATTGATGCACATTAAAAAACTGTTTATAATCCACAGCTTACGTGACGATTACAATAATAAATGTCGCTAATAGAAATAAATTATTATCTCATACATAGTACTTGTTCACACCATTACATCTGTATAAAAGGGACATGGGATTCTGTAATATGCCATTGATAAATTGAGAATTCATTATTAACATGACAAAGAAAAGCCACACATGTATGTACCAGTATCATACTGCCAGATGTACAGCAGTACAGCCACTACAGACGCAATTTTACCCCACTTTAGCCTTTTGCAGTTCCCGATTGTTCCCGATTGTGCCCGACTACCAGTGCGCATGCGTCTTTACATAGCATATATTATATTATTATATAATAGACTGCGCGGTCTTATGGTAGGGATGAAGCGAAACCGAAGGACAGAAGTAGCGTTGGAGTAACTCCTCTCTTGCTCGTACATCACAGAGGGAAGAGGCGACAGTGCTGGGGACGAGAGGAGAAGGAATGCTGCACGCATGAAATGTATATCCACTACAGCCGTAGGAGGATCTCCTACCAACAGCCCCATTAGAAAGAGAGAAAAGTTACTTCGGTTACTGTCCTCTCCTTTTAATGCCGACTTCATCCCTACCATAAGACCGCGCAGTCTATTATATATGTCATATGTCTATGATGGATCCACAAGATACCATACCTAGATGGGAGTGCTGTTTTTTATATCGTCACCTGAGAAGCAGAAGCACCGACGAGGTATGCAGAAGTAATGTGGACAACTGGGTACTTTGGCGGTGTACGCGGTGTACTACGTAATGACACGTTTAACGTGCGAGTCATCTGTCGGAGAAAACTCATGTAATTTTGTGAGTGGACAGTGTACTGCAATTGTAGTAGATGTTCGAAGTTGTCCGAAGTATTAGTGAGATTATTTTAATGTATAGATGTGAAATATTGAAGGCTAAGAATGTTGAACGTTTAACAATTTATATCAAAACAGGTGGCATTGAAATATAAAATGCTAAGCCAACATGTAAATTTGAAAGACCCATCGTGATATTTATGTGTATTGTATTTTTCGAATTTTCATCATAATGGATTTTGGTACTTTATTGAGTGTGGCACAGAAAAATGAAAACAGCAAGCAGGTTAGTACCCGGTTCCTTAATGTTTTCTGTTTTCAATTTTATTCAATATTTTCTCGAAATTTTGTATTATATTTTATAGTCGATTGCTTGCTATCAGTCGAAATTTGCTCCACCCAAGAAACCAACTAAACAGGCTAAGGCTCTTTCCCACAACATAAAAAAATTTTTAGCTCGCAAAGAAGAGGAAGAAAAACAGAAAGTTTTAGAAGAAAAGAAGAAAAGAGAGGTATAATATGATTCATCTTTATCATACTTTGTACTTAAATGTATGTGTAATCTTACTTTGTAATTTCTTACCCTTATTACTTTTTGTGTGCAGAATTTGTTGGCATTAAGGGATCATAAAGCACAAAGTCGGATAAACAAACATTTGAAAGTATGTAAGGCAGCAAACAAATCTGCAATAGCAGATGCGATCGACAATGACAATACAGCTGTTACAATGGCAGGTATGGGCATCATCATCATTAGATCAATATATTTCATTGACATATTTAATACATTGACTGTTATTTCAATATCTACAGCAATTTCTATAAGATTAAAGTACTTGTTTTGAACAAAAAAGAAATTGCACAGTCTTACCATTTATATTATTATTAGTCTCATATTTTGTTAATCATGGTCAATTGCTTTGAATTTTATATTCTGAAATAATGATTAATTTTGGACCTTTAAAGATTATATTGTACATATACATTTAGTGGTTAATGAGTTAAAGGTCATACCCATAATTTAAAACTGAAGCTTTCATAAGCAACACATATAAGTATTGATTATAAATATAAATATTACGCAAACTACTTATAATATACATGTATGTAGGATTTTTGGATATTATTAAGCATTTATTATTTTAATGTTTATCATATGTACATGTATGACTTTTGTAGAGTTTAAATAATATTACGTAGTCAATGGTACATATTGGTATTCATGTACTAGCAAATTAGTTATTATTCTCTATTATTATATTATATAATACATTTTTATTAAGAATGCAGTAGATATACATTGAAGATGTTACAATTTTCATGCATTAATGTCACAACACATCTATGATTACCTTGTTTAAATACTACACAAATTTCAAATTACTATATGTGTTGTAACATACTTACAGTTTATAAGCTTATTGGTCAATAAATATAACAGAGGTGGACATAGGTTCTAATTCCTGGGGAAATTAATAGATTGGTATATACAATTGATGATGTTCACATTAATGAGTATTTAGAAGTATTAATCTCTATCCATAATGGGCAGTATTTTTGCCCACAGGTAATTGAGTATGAATATGTACAATCAACGCAATGCCTTCTTACTTTTCCACGGTCCAACAGGGCAGTGGGATTTTGTGGATTTACGTGGCAGAGGATTCCAAGAAATTAAGGTCAGAGTAAATCTAATTCTAAAGTAGTCTAGAGGGCAAACTCTAGATTGATTATTATTATTATTGAACAAATTGTTTTGAATATAATGCATAAAGTAAAAAATGATAGTGAACATTGTTAAATGTCCTATGAATATTCTACATAAGTTTTATTCTGTTTATTAATAATCTATACTAAAATATACTTAATGAAATGGATTTACTTTTAATTCAGAGGATTAGAACAGATGACGCTTAACTGTTTAATATTATGAAAAATATAATTAGTATCCCATCAGAAAAGCAATCAACATTGTGTGTTTCGAGGACATACAAAAATAAGAATTATTATGGCAGTATGCATTACAGTGTTGTATAAATTAATTACTTTCATATCTTTTTTGTAGAAAAATATGCTGATGATTTTCTGCAATCCCTACAATTTTAATAGTTTTACTTTTGTGACAACAAAAAAGGGCTATTGTTATGTAACAGAAAAAATATTTACAAATAATAGTATTACCAATCTGAAAACACAGAAAATAAACGAAATTGAATATTTCAACTGCACAATTTTGTTCTACATTGTTGTTTAAAATTAACCACATAGATTTTTAACTTTTAAGAGTAATATGGAAGTACATAATATAAGTAAATTTGTGATTGTAACAAAAATACTGCCTATTTTAATATTTCTAAATTAAGGGATTAGGCCAACATGACTGCTTGAAAATCATAGCCTACCTTTGTGAATTTTTTCTGGGAATACAACGAAGTAGGGTAGAGGGGGTTGGTTTGGATTCTGGGAGGTTTGGGTCAGTTAGGGTATTTCCATCCTTGTTACACATACCATATTCGTATGTCAATTGTTCGTTGTTGCAGTAGTAAATGTATTCATAATCTAAGCGAGAAGTTTGTACAGTGTAAATTTAATCTTATGAAAGTGTAAGGGCATTTTCATGGCAAGTTTAATACAAATTGCTAACCGAAATAAATCATTGCTATAAAATCATATAAGATATCTCGTGCTGGTAAAAATTTTAATGGACGACCTTGTGTCTCAGCAACAATTATACTTAGATTACAAATTAGAACCTAAAACACGTGGTTTGAGTAACAGCGATGCATTACTATGAACGTTTGGATGCGGGAGTTATGGGTCAGACGTGAGCAAATAACGTAATTAGTACGAGCAGAACACAATGTTATTAAATTCAATATTGACTTGATTAGTTTTGAAAATTTACATTAAAAATCCAATTAACAATTTTCAATATCTTTATGTATATTGTGTTATTTCATTACAGTCTTTATTTTATGTTTATTATGTTATTTCTTTCGAGTTTTTATTTCATTTATTCGTTTCATTACTTTTATATGCATGTATATTATCAGTTTGTAGGTAATAAATATATACGTAGATAAAACTTTTCTATATTTACTGCAAAAACAATACGAACATTAAATGACCTATTTATTCCTATTATCTGACCCAAATTTCCCCCTTCCAATTCCTTTGGAATAATAAAATGAGATCATGATGGAATATCGATGGTAAGACCTTACTAATTATAATTCTTCAGATTTAAAGCGTGTTTCTCTTTCATTTTAATCTCTATTACACATTAATTCAAAATTGACCGAAACCTATTCACTCTCCCCTAAACTGGAAATCAATTACAAACCTGTAATATACAGGGTGTCCCACGTAAAGTGTTACAAGTCGTTTTATCCGAAACTACTACAGATATCGCAGTGACGGTTTTTTTAAATTAAACGATGCAAGGGAGCTAACATGTGGCGTACAAAAAATTGGGGCGGTGCTTCCTAGGAGGGAGGAGGGGACACCTACTGCCCCTTTTTTTAAATGGAACGGGCTATTCCTCGTTTTTTATTTAGACAGCTGTTGTTAAATATGACAACATTTGTTTGAAACATTTTTTAATATTCGGCACAGTTAAAGAGTTACAGCACCTTGAAAGAACAAGTGAAAATAAGGATACAAGGCACATGTAAATCTATCACTTCAACGATGTTGTCAAATACTTGGAATGATATGATAAAAAGAATAAATAAATGCTTGAAAGGTAATGGGCCCCATTAAAATATTTAATAAAATTAATTTCAACCGTATGACGTTCATTTTAATCTCATTTGTTGCTCCCCGAAGTTCCTTCCGAGAAAAGTATTATTTACTATAACTCTTTAACTGTGAGGAATAAGATGCTTTAAACAATTGTAATATTTGATAACAGCTATTCAAATAAAATACAAGTAATAGCACGTTCCATTTTAAAAAAGAGGGTGTAGATACCCCCTCCCCCTTAGGAAACCCGTCCCCAAATTTGTTGTACTCCAAATGTTGGCTCCTTGTACTGTTTTATCTAAAAGAATCCTCATTTCTATATCTGTAGTAGTTTCGGGAAAAACAGCTTGTAACACTTTACGTGAGACACGTTTATGTACAGGATCTAATAAAAATGTTGAAGGATCCTGAAATGGGAGAATCGTGAGGTGATTTGAAATAAGTTTTTCCTTAAGAAAAATGTTATCTGAGGTATTCTTAAGGAGATATTAATGAAAAACCCCGACCAATCGGAGCGCGAGTTTGTCGGCTGAGCATTCTCGGTAGCGTTGCCAACGCTACCGCGGGAACTCGGCCGGCAGACTCGCGCTCTGATTGGTCAGGTTTTTTCGTTAATATCTCGTTAACAATACCTCAGATAACATTATTGTTAAGGAAAAAGTTGTTTCAAATCATCCCAGGAACCCCTCATTACCGGGAGTCGAAGCTATTTTGGGACACCCTGTATATGTTACAGAAAATGTAAAATCGTATTAAATAACATTTCCTTGAAAACCATGAATATATACAAGGTGTTCCGATACTGGTATCAAAAACTTTATGGGTTAGTGGAGTTCCGCATGGCAAAAAAAAATTCGAAAATCAAGAATGACGAAATTGCACTAGCTAGAGGCTTCGTTTTCGGGCTATTAATTGTTGAAAATATGAGTAAAAAGCGTCTAATACGATAGGTTAGACTATATTAACTATATTGCCATGATCGCGGCTGTAGGGGAGTAAAATGGCAATCAGTTCAGAGCCCCCTCCATGCTAAATTCTATCGTCATAGCCTCGGCCTCGGCCTCAGCACCTGCGCAAAAGCTGGGTCGTGCTGGTACGCCGGCGTACGCAACGTGGTGGGAGAGTGAATATGTACTTGAAAGTACGTGTGAAGGGGAAGTGCCTCGCATGGCAATTTATTCAGTGGCAATATAATCAATGAATTGGTGGCATATCACTTGTTCCATAACATTAATCTTTTTGCTCGCCAAAATCCACATAGGCCTATCGAATCTACCCCACGGGATGGTCAAGTACAGGGATGAATGTCATTTTGTACAAAGTCCCATTTAGTTATAACTCGAAAACGAAGCGTTAATGCAATTTCGTCACTCTTGATTTTCACCTTATTTTGGCATGTGGAATCACCCATTAAAGCTTCTGACACCAGTACTATTGGTCCATTCATTTTCAGAACGACTTTCTGTCTTTTTAGGGCCATCTCAACCCGACGAGGATGATTATGGATACGTTTCGCAAGAAGCTTCTGCGTTTTATAATCAGTTAATGAATAAATACAATAATGCGCCTTGTCCAAAACCACTCTTCAGTGAAACTCGCAAGAAAACAGTAAAAGACATCGCCTCTACAAAGGTAAAAAATTATATTCGTAACTAAATTATGTAATGGATTTAGTCAACTTTTATTCTAAATTATTACTCTATTTAGTTCATTTTAACCTGTTAGTCCTTTAATCTGGTAACAAAAATCTATAAACGTCAGGCGATTTTGTGTTGTCTGTGGATTGTTCAATTTCAGACACTTTGACTCCAATGTTTAAATGCTTATAACTGAAAAATGAAGGCTCAGAGATCATTTTGTTACGTTCGATTTTCATCTTATTTTATTATGTATTAAGCTTCATTTGTCCTGAACCTATTAATTAGCGAGCTACTACTTACCTTGGTTATAGTAGATGCTCAAAGTGATGCCCCTTGACTATGTCACGCAAAACCGGAATTCCCAGCCTGCCGTTTGGTCGAAACCCTTTAAGACTTTAACCTTACAACCGGGCGCCAAGCATTTCACGAGTGCCGATGGATATGTTAAAATACCCGCCGAATCGTAACTCAAAGCCTGATAACTTTTTACGACCATATGATATCATCCCGATGTCATATGGTCCGCCGAAAAACTTAGAAACCGAGAGCGTGATGCCTATGCTGGATAGCGTGGAAATGCAAGCTTACATATGAATGCTATTCGCAGCTCGAAACATAAACTACTTCTGACATTTTGACTAATTACTACGGGTAAAACGAATTATAGTATTTCACACCAAAAAGTGTTGCATGGGGAAACCCAGATAACAAATTTAACTGTTTCAAATGAGTGTCATGTTACATCAATGGCTATTCAGGAAGAAACTCTACATTTTCTAAACAGTAATTAATATTCACAGTTTTGTTACTTATAAATGAAATACTGTGTGTCATACATTATCATTTTTTTATTGTGTGAAACTCTACAATATAATCTAGTGTGCACCTCTAGGTTAGGCAACATTAATCTGTGCCGCTGTTGGGTCTTCACTTTACGACCTCGCTATATCTTGGCATGCACTATAACTGAAAATAATGGGAAATTGTATTCTTCCAAAAGTAGCGCATTCCTATCGTCCGCATCGTAAACCTGGTCGTACAGGTGTCCTAACATTCACTATTTCATCATTTGTTGTGTCTGTATTTTCAAGTTTCAAGGAAGTAATCACGTTGGTCACTCACATCTTCCAGTAAGCTCTCAGTAATGATTTGTTTAATTTTTTATTTATTAAAGTAATTCCTTGTTGGATTAAATACTAAGCTTTTGGGGGGGGGGGTAGCGGCGAGCATGGCTTGGTGTGGTTGGTTGTGTGAGAGGTTACAAGGAAATAGAACGAGGTTATAGAGTCAATAAGATCGCAAAATAACAAATGGAGGGGTAGGTAAAAGTAAAAATATGAGTTGAATGCTTCCAAAAGAAGAGACATGATAAACGGCAAAAATGGTGAAGGTGGTGGGAAAGAGGTTAGGTTGGAGTTTGGCTCTGAACTCATTGCCGGTTTACTCCCCTACAGTCCCGGCCATGGCAATGTAGTTAGAGTCCACTGTACTTTCCATGACTCAGGGACAATGCTGTTTGGAAGAATTCCCTTGGCCGATGGGATTACTTCTACCCGTACCGTCTTCTTCGGAGCCCACAATGGTGCCGAGATTTCCGCCCTCTTGAAGTAGTGACTTCAGCAACATATTTCAAGGTTGTCTCTTACGGGGTCCTCTTCCGAGGGAAGCGGCCGAGTCGCTGTTAACGTCGGCCTTAATACAAGCCCAGATTTTTTCCCAAATCTTCAGTCGGCTCTGCGGCTAACGGTAGCAATAATTCGTTGGGCATGAAGACCTTTTAGTCTCAAATTCTGAATCCAACCGCAACTTGCAGTCGTGGAGGATCTCGCACATGTCCGATGAGCAGAGTTAACCTCAATCGAAGGGGGAAGAACGACTCCCAGGTCGAATGTAGCCCATTATTCGTTACGTTCCTGAACTGTTATTTGCTCGGCGCGAGATAATACGGTGTTAGTTTGCAATTCAAGCGTAATAGTTTTTAATTAGCGTTGGATACCAATCGCAGCGCGTAGCCGACGCTACCGCGGGAACTCGGCCGGTAGACTCGCTCTCTGATTGGTCGGGGTTTTTCGTTAATATCTTGTTAACAAAGACTCGGATGACATTTTTGCTAAGGAAAAACTTGTTTCAAATCACCTGATGAGTCACCCATTTCCAGGTCCTCCAACATTTTTGTTACATCCTGTATAGTATACGTTACCAAGTCTACGGTAATGTTAATAGAAGTAACGATGATTGCAGGATAGAGTGAAACAGGCTTTAAAGCAGCAAGAAGTAGAAGAAGCATTAGGACATCGTCGTAAAAGAAAATCGTCTGGAAAAGAAGCTGAAATACAACCGGAAGAAAAAATTGAAAACAGTGAAATAACTGATAAAAATACGCAACTTGAAGATAAGAAAGAAAGAGATGAGAAACCAAGGGCTAAAAAGAGACCTCCGCCTCCTCCAATGGATTTCAATGAATTGCTTAAAATCGCGGAAAAGAAACAATACGAACCGATTGTGATTGACGTGAAACCGAAAATCGAAGAGCCGGAGAGACTAATGACCAAGAAGCAGATGAAAGAATACGCAAAGGAGAAGGAATGGCGAGAACGGAAGGAACAACGAAGTAAAGTAAGCACTCCAAGCAACAAAGAAGGAAACACGCCCACAGCTTCTAAATTAATCAAAACACAAGACACTCGTGGCACCATGAACAGTTTCACTAAAATCCCTAAATTAACTGAATCCTCGATATCGAATAAAGCGCCTTCGAAAGCGGCACATGTATCTGAATCACCGCTTCCAAAAAAAATCGCCGAGAAATCTAATGAAAATAAATCTAATTTAAGCAAGTCGAACGTTTCGAAAACATCCGAGAAAGATATTCTTTTAGAAGAACGGAAACAATTGGAATCCGAGAGAAGAAGATTGGAGGAAATGCGACAAGCCATTGAGGAGGAGAAAAAGAAATTAAAATTGAGTAAGAGTAAGATCGAGGATGTGAAAAATGTGAAATCAGAGAAATTGCCAACAAAAGTAAAAGTGCCGGAAAGACAAATTCCATCGACAAGTATTAAACAGAAGGAAGGTTCGGCGATGAACGCGTCTAAACTTCGTACAGCCTTAATGTCCAATGGAAAAGTGAAACAGTTTCCTCCGACAGATATGAAACCAATCAGGTCTAAACAGCCGGTTCCTTTGAAGGATCATAAAAAGGGATTGGCCGTCCATAAACGTGAGTGAAGTATTTTTTATACACATACATTTCATATTTACTCTGTAATACTCAATCAAAAATCCAAAACCCATTTGTTTGGCGTTTTTCCCAAATTTATGTTGTTACTGCCCATACTCTTCTTACCCCTCTCCCTCTCTCTCACTTTCATGTGCGCTTTTTTACCGCCGTTGTTTATGGATGTGAAACCAGATATTTGAAGTCGTTCACTTCCTCCAACCACTTCCTTTTCCACGTCCATGTTACCTTTCTCCTCCCACAATAACCAATCTCTGAGTATCTCTATAATCTCCTAATCATTGCTTTCATATCCTTTTCCTTTTCTGTTAACAACACAACGTCGTCCGCGCCAGAGTGTGTACGCTCCTTCCCGCCAGTAATACGCCTCCCTTTTTTCATTTCCTATTTTCGACTTCCATATCTGCCGTCAACAGATTGTATAAATACGAACTCATTATACATTCGTGTCTGACTCCCTTCGCCACACAGTGTAACGATCCCCGTTCAAAATTAAAAAGAAAATGTTTTTTAGGGAACTTTTTTCTATGAAAAATTGTTGGACACACATCTGTCCGCTATGAACATATTAAAAAACAATTAAATGTTCCAATCGTCAATAGTTACATGGAGACGGAAAACGTAGTCGAAAATCATTTCACATACATTTTCCTGTTTTATATATTCTAATTCATTTGTAATTAAAGTTTTTGTTTATAATATTTATCAACAGTATCATAAGAATAAAATAGGTAAATTGATTATGGAATAGTGCCTTAATTATAGATGATATGGGTATATTTCGTAATGGATTTTTGACTAAGGTTTTCTTGAAATATGTCAAAAAATGTATTTCCATTTTTTTTGTATAATGACTTTAAATTATGTATACTTTAATTCTATATTATTCTTTTTTTGCGCAAATTAGTTTTTTTTTGTGTTTTTAGATACATTCACGTACAGAAAATGTTTTGAAGTTAAGTTAAGTTAATGTTTTGAAAAAAAAAAGGATAAGTTTATACGTGAAGAAAAACGAGTTATTAATTTTGATCGATATTTCCGTATTTTGTGCGCCGTCCAAAAGGCTTCCAGTAAATGTGAAAATACTATTCCATGCAATAAAGTTTGCTATTACTATGAATTACGATTCTGTATTAGTATAATTAATTTGTATAAATAGTACTGCATTAATTTAAAATATATGCTAAGACACCATATGATTCCAATCGAATATTGTGTATTTATGTGATTGCATAAAACAATTCGAAGCGAAATGAACTCTACGAATATGAAATAGTAAATACAATAATTTATTATTACTTAATAAACTAATTTTTTTTAGGTCGTATACATGATGAGGATAAAGATGATTACGATTCAGAACTTGATGATTTTATTGATGATGAAGTAGAAGAGAATTCAGAAGATTACAGTAAATACATAAGTGAAATATTCGGTTATGATAAAAGTAAATATAAATACGGAAACCACGAGGATGACGATGACGACCGCGGCATGGAAAGTAGTTTTGCGCAACAACTTAAAGAGGAATATGTATCTACGAAGATAGGTAATATTGCTAAATGTATTTTCACAATTCACACTATTTTCGTACAACTAATAAAATAAAATGTGTTGTTAGGTATTATGGAAGATTTAGAAGACATGCGTATGGAAGCTTTAGAAAAAAAAAGGAAAGCTATGTTAAAAAATAAAATAAAACACTGACTACTGTGTTGTTTATAAATTTTTATTAAAATGTATTTAATAAATCACGCTATACTTATACAATGTTCAATGGTCAATTTGAATTTACATTTATTACTACCTAACAGTAATAGACCTGGATATACACTAAATCGGCTATACTATATTCTTATAGGAGATCGTGATAATAAAATCAGATTTCTTCGCAGCTACCATATTTTTGCAACAACGGAATTGTCTTCCCTTGTAACATCCAATGACTGCAAGTTGGACTATAATAATTAACTTTGTCCCTTGTTTAACAACATAACATATGGACGACTAGGTAACTATTAAAGTTAGGACCAATAGTTGTTAATAAAGTTTTAAATAATACGATTCATTTTATAAAACAAAGTTTATCTTCAAATTTCCGAAGTGCCTCCAACTACAAAGAAAATTTATATGTTATGAAATTCGGGGACATAATAAAAATTTATTCGGATAGTACCCAACTTTGCCCCATTAAAACAATGGAACAATTTTTTAGTCATCGCATAGTTTAAGAGTTATTCAGTGTGCAAGTTAGGTGACTCACACTGTATAACATGTTGGCATCATTGTATCAGTCACATATCAGTAGTTGATTACAACGAGGTATCGTATGCCACGAGTTCGGCTGCTAGGTACATATGTATGTAAGTGGGTCTTTCCAAGGTAGCTACGCCTCTGGTTGTTACCAACCGAGCTCGCGAAACAGCTGAGGAGCGCGCGTTCCAAGTACAAATCCCACATTCGATGCATGGACAACTCGGGACTATTGAGGGCTAAATGTTCAGGAACTGTGCGTGAATCGGGCGCTAATTACCTGTTCGTTTTTCCCACCACTCGGCCGTTCACTTATGCGACGCAGCTACATATGTATAAGGAGGGCTGGATATACGCACTTATAGGAAATCCCGCCATAAAATCTACTTATACATATCCGTGACGTATCAGTGCCGTATCCGCTCAGTTTCGTGATTTTCCGTCAGTATCTAGTGACGAGACGTATCGTTTATTTTTGAATGAACGAGTTTGTACTATAGGAATAATTTAATTAAAACAATATTTGAATATGAAATTATATTTTAATTAAATTAAAGTATTTTTGTTGATTTAGTTTGTATAGTTAGCCAGATTAAATTAATAGGAAATAATTTAATTAAAACAATATAGAGTATAGAGGATAGAAATATAGACTGCGTGTCAGGCTGGGCCGACGTTCCAACTTTGGAAAGAGACGGGTTAATTTCGGAGGATTTGCTATCTCTTTCTACTATAGCTGAGTCTATTGAGATATACATATACTAAATAACTGGAGTGTGAACTGTGGGATGATGACTGGTCCGAAGGAGAAGGAAATAAATCGGTATCTGTCTCACGATCAGTCTTACACTGTAGAGTAAGTGCATGCCATTGAAATTATTTGCGCCAAAAATATAAACATACCCAAAGACGAAAAATTATATGAATAATAATCGCAAAAGGAAAAAAACAGTCAAATGCGTTAAAATTTATTCATGATTATTATATTTTTCTTGCTATGCGTACGAAACGGTGTTGTATACCAAGATGGCTTCCACAGATCACGGCTTTGCGTTTTGCGTTTGGTGGCTTCTTACCCCCTCTACACGCAAATTTACTACTATGGGATAGTAAATATAAAGTGAGATAATAGGAGGAAGGAGGATAGACAACCAGTATACCTTCCATTTCCCTCGGACCGCTGTCGCCTCTCTTTCTTCGCACTGGCTGACATTGAGTTACCACTCAAAACCCGAACCCTCAGCAGAACTGCTCAGAACCTCACCCCCCACTACTTCTTGTTAGATTTAAAAAGAGATTTCAAATACTCCGAAAAGTATCTACCTGTTTCTAAACTTGGGACACGAGCAGACACTAGTGTCGTCAGTTTCAGGGAGATGCGCATGCGCAGTCTATATTTCTACGCCTATGGTTACACACCTACATCTTGCACACGTCCGGCGTCCGTCGCCGGCGCAGTATCGTATTCAGACCGTTCAGTTTCAGTTCAGTATCCGTACAGTGACGTTAAGTGACGTTTATCTATTGCAAACGATATTTGTGCTTTTTTAGGGACCTGTTACAGCGATCATTAAGTTCAGTAAGTTTGTCCGTGGATCATTCCATGCGAAGCAAAATGACTTTTTGGGATTAAGTCGTGGATTTGGATGCAAATGGAATACATATTATGTTTGTCAGTATTTACGTGTTTGGTAGCTCATGCGTTTGGTGTCGTATCTACCCGGGGCTCCATATGGCGCTTTATACTTTTTATCAATTTTACTAATTTAATTTGAATAATTAATATTTTCAAAATACTGAAATGGAAAAACAATTTACAAATAGCTGGAGAAAAAACAAACATTTTGTTTCTAAGTGTAAAACAAAATTAATTTTTTTTAATTTTTAAGAAAAAATTTGAAAGTTCGTGGAACAAACCAAAAGAAAACAAGCGACGTTGCCCCACATAGCAAACATGCGTAGAAGATGTGTATTACCAAACGCATTGAATCAAAATCGGTACTAGAAATTTGTAAAAGACTACTGAACCAATTTAGATCAAACTTTGTGGTAATATGCTTAAGACTATAATCTAGTAATACAAGTTTAAGCTCAAACAGTCGCCATTTTGTAGAATATTGATATTTTCAAAATTGGCTCCGATAAGTACTAGTTCCTTTTGTCTACTTTGACATAAATTTACAAAACTGGCAAATATTTAGAATAGGGAAGGTAGCTCCGATGACCTTGACCTTGACATATGTTGTAAATGTCACCTTCCAGAGTAACCCTGAGAAAAGTTTAGTAGTCACTCTTTACTTGTTAAAAAGTTATGAACAAATAAATTTTACAATATAAAAATGTATGATTAACTCTCTAATTTAAATCTTACGTAAATAGCATAAACGTTTTATTATTAACACATCTGCTTCTTTAAGTGATTGTGTGGGCGTGAGCTTGCTCCGCCCCTCCCCCTACAATACTACCAATCGCAGCGCGTAGCCCACGTTACCGCGGGAACTCAGCCGGCAGACTCGCGCTCTGATTCTTCGGGGTTTTTCGTTACTATCTCGTTAACAAAGCCTCGGATAACAGTTTTGCTAAGGAAAAACTTGTTCCAAATCACCTCATTCACAACTATTCTCTCCCATTTCCGGGTCCTCCAACATTTTTGTTACACCCTGTATATACATAATCTTGTAATGTCGTATATAATGCAGCGCATGAATATGAGAGACCACATCACGTGACACCCCGGTGTGTTGTGATTGACTATTCATGCGAGCCAGCTAGAAAACTTGCAGGAAAAATAGCACGGGAGCAATCACGATATCCAGGAGCGGAACTTGCAGCGGAACCTGCAGGGCAGCGTGCACTGGCTTGCAGTGATGTCATTTGCCAGCACCGCTCCCTGCACGGCTGCATGTACAGCCTTAAGCAAGCGATATGCAAGAAAACAAGCACCGTGTGCTGCACGCTTTATTGTACCTAGACAGCACATGACGCCTTGAAGACGCCCATTTTGCGGTTCTCTTAGGTATAAGGCGTCTTTAAGCCGTCTTCAAGACGTCATGTACCATCTGAGTAGTGTCTCTAGGCCATTCAACGAGCGAGCTGTGAGACAAATCGTCGTACCAGTATACAGGGTGTCCTTTTATTCACCGGTCACGTTAACCCTCTGACGGTCAAAATTCAATTTTGGTCAGGCCAAAACTCATCATAACTTCAATGGATTTTCATAAAAAGTGGTATTCTCCTGTTTTGGGGTTGCTAAATTCGAATATCTTGTCAGAAATCCAAAATTTACAATGAAAGACTTAATACCACTGGCATAAATGTGTTTAAATTAATTTGTGTGGGAATTGATAATTTTCCTATGTGACCCGAAAATTATATAAATAAAAAAAACGTCGGATTTAATATGGTTACCATAATCTCATAACATTTTTTAAATTAACTATTGTGAAAATTTTATTTCTTTCGATTTTCCCTATTATTTAACAGGTCATAAGTGTGTGAAGTCTTAAGAGGAGTCGAATGCGGATGGCTTGTTGCTAATTGACCGTTGGAGAATTTATGATAGGGGCTAGACTAGACAGACCTGGCGTTATATGGTAGCGGGAGACCACGTTGGGTCCTTCGGCTATCGATGATGTATAGGGTTGTTTATGTGAAAAAGATGAGTGAAAGTTTAGAGATAACTAAAGTTAGAGAGAATAATCGTTCAGCATTTACTTCAGAACTAATATTTCTAACATGTTCATTGCGTAATTTTGTAGTGAAATTTTACAGTAAAATTACGCTCAATATAATTTTTGTTTGCATCCAAATTTACGATTTGACTTAAAAACGTGATTTGCTTGACATGTAAAAGATCTCTGTAATTTTCTCCGTATATTCGTATAGACATTTTTAGGCTTATAAAAATGAATGACGAACAACTAATTGAATTAGTGCGTCAATATCCTGTGCTGTACGATGTATCACATCCAAAATATATGAACACCTCCTTGAAACTCGATATTTGGAATAAGATTGGTAGAAATATAAGACAAGATGGTAAGCGTATTTATATTATTGTTTATTTTAGACATATTACTTATCAGAATAAACATAACATGTTACGGTATTATAAAAGTTTTTACCAAAGCACATTTTACATCGAAACTGTACATATTTACTACTGCATGGAGCCGATTTCCGAATTAAAATAATGTTTCATTATTTCTCGTACACAAAAGGCATCTTTTGTTGCGTTTCTAGCTGTACCCAGATTAGAATTTGCAAAAACTCTACCATCGCTATTTTTGCCGCATGTACATACATCGACAACTGTGAAGTTATAATGAGCGTCAAAAAGCGCCAACAAGACAATAGAGAACGTCTTCTTGTAGTTAAAAAATATAGCCAACTACTATTTGAGGGAGCTTAAATGGTAATATGTTTACCATTTATAGCTACAAAACTGCTAAGAAATTACTAAATTGTGTGAAAGTTATTAGCAATGTATTTCCACATCTCTTCTGTAGGTTCGGACGCCATTTCATTGTTGGGATTTTCTTCTATTATTTTGCAAGTCTCCATTACGATCTTGTACACTGTACTATGTCCCAAACGGTACCTAAATGAAATTGTTTTTAGGGATTCTTCCGTAGCTGTTTACCCGAAAGGAAGGAATCTTATTTTAATAAATAATAATAATTACATTTCATTTGCAATAACATTTCTTTTCAGTGTCAGTATGTAAAGCCAGATGGAACAACATAAGAGACAATTACAAAAAATGTCTAAGAAAGACAGCAATGAAGAGGCGGCAAAATGCAAAAAAAATAAGACTCTATAAATATTCGGAGCAATTAAGCTTTTTAAAAAAATATATTGACGAAAGGAAAACTAATACGAGCATTGACAGTCAAGAAAAAGGGCAAGAATATGACAGGCAAGAAGAAAATAATGAAAATGATGTAGAAAAAGGAAAAGTTAATGCAGAGGAACTCAATAACGTATTAGATATAAATGATGATTTACCATGCCGGGCGTTTTCTATTTCAAATTGCAATACATTTGAAATTCCAACCAATCCAACGATACAAAAAACAGCAATGAAAACAGTGATACCACAACAAACAGCTTCGTCACAATTAATGGAGTATTTAATCAATAAAAATCCAAATAAAACATCAGAACATCCCGTAGATGCATTTTTAACTGGTATTGCAACAACTTTAAAAACTCTATCTCCATACAATTTAAATTTAGCGAAATCAGAGATTTTCTCCATAGTGCAAAAATATGAGCTGAAAATGATTTCGGAACAGCATTCATGTCAAGAAAGATCTAATCAAATGTGTAGTTGTGCTTCCAGCAGCTCATTACCAATATCTACTCCACTATTATCGCCTACTGAAAAATTAGAATTTACATCAGAAACATACATACAACAATAGCATTTGAACATCAACGGGTCATTCCAAGCGAAATCGGACACATTTTGGAGTAACATTTCGGATTTAGTTGACACTTTGGTGCTTACAGTAAAGATATAAGAGTACCTGATAACAATTATTTCAGTAAAAAAAAATATTTTGTAACTATTTACTTTGCAATTGTTATATAAAATATGGTCTAAATTGTGTTATGTTTTGTATAATTTTAATCAGAAAAATCTCACCACTATGTTCATAACAGTTTCATTAATAAAGAATCAAAAATAAAAAAGTTTTATCGTTGCGTTAGTATTGTCTCACCGACACCCGGGAATGTAACCTTTTTGTGGGCTCTGACGTTCAGTCGTCGGCTTGTGAATGGGAAGCCGCCTCGGCGCGCCGCACAGTGTAACGAAATAGGGAAATATCGATCAAAATTAATAACTCGTTTTTCTTCACGTATAAACTTATCCTTTTTTTTAATGCACGTACATACCCGTATTCTAGTTATCTTTACAATTAATTTTGGATAAATGAACTTTATTACAATTTTTTTTTGATACTTAGCATGGTTTTATTTTTAATCATTATAACTCGGTTTTATATATGTATATTGGAATAATTTGTGGTGAAATACAAAAATTGGGACTATTTTATAAGTATACAAATGAAAAGTTGTTATAAATATTTACTAATTTTATTGTGGGTTAACATAAAATATTATTGTTTTTATAAAATGAAATTTAACGAGGTAAATAAAACAGTATGTAGAAAAAAGATTAAAAGCCAATCATGGTTTGCAGCTTTATATTTTTGCAATTTCCTGCTAGATTTTTCCCGTCTTCTATTTAAATCTAAGTGAATACATGCAGCAAGTTTGGAAACAGATTCTTTACAGTCATCCTCCAATAAAAACTTTGTACAAATGTGATTTATCAAAACATTAACTTTTACGGACTTGTGTACAACACGTCAGATTTCAAAACATTTGCTGTACGTGAAAAAAGAACAATATAGAATTAAAGTATACATAATTTAAAGTCATTATACAAAAAAAAATGGAAATACATTTTTTGACATATTTCAAGAAAACCTTAATCAAAAATCCATTACGAAATATACCCATATCTTCTATAATTAAGGCACTATTCCATAATCAACTTACCTATTTTATTCTTATAATATTGTTGATTGATATTATAAACAAAAACTTTAATTACAAATGAACTAGAATATATAAAACAGGAAAATGTACATGAAATGATTTTCGACTACGTTTTCCGTCTCCATGTAACTATTGACAATTGGAACATTTAATTGTTTTTTAATATGTTCATAGCGGACAGAAGTGTGGCCAACAATTTTTCATAGAAAAAAGTTCCCTAAAAAACATTTTTTTTTTCATTTTAAACGGGCATCGTTACACTGTGCGCCGGGGCAACAAAGTATGCGCTTGCTGGGTCCACCTCCTCCCCCCAGTGGTGGGGATAACGCGTGGACAATAATCATGAATCACCAATCAGTTAATAATCGCGAGGTCCCTGTATAATACTTACGTCGTATTAACCGAAAAATTGACAATCGGTGCCAAGCTCCCACCACCAAGTCGCACGCCTTCTAGACCAATACATATATAGTATGTACATATTATATACTTATGTATGCGTTAGTCTCCTTTTAATTTTATTGTATTTTCTCTTACTAAGAAAGTATTAATACGTTTAAGATATTGACATTATTAATTTAAAACAATATGCACATATTTCATTCACTTGTGGTTTTAAATTACAGACTTCTCTCGATTATCGTCCCGAACTCGGGTCCGCGCCGGGATAATAATCTTATAGAGAGAAATGCTGGGAATAATTCCTGGACAATAATCGTGTAGAACAAGCTATACAATAATCTAGAGGTGTCTGCAGATATTTATTGTTCACAATTTGAACATTCATAAAAATGTAATTATTTCAACTTGGAATAGTAAATATGTAGTTAGTATTAATAATAATAATACAAACTAGTATACTAGACAGTATAGAATAATGTATAATAATGGTGGTTGCATATTAAATAGTTTTATTTCTTAGTTTATATTACATTTTACATGACAAAATGCAAGAATGTAATGATTATTGAATAAGTATTTTCAGTTAAAAATATACCGTATTATATTTTGATTATATGTAGGAAAATAAATATACTATTATCTCAATATTACGCTTAGATATAATATTTCGCACTGAGGTAGATAAAATTAGCCAGATATTTACGAGAACGCTTTTCTAGGCGCTATAAATTCTCTTCCCTGTTAATGAAGTCTATTATTCGTTGTACAATGTTGTTGTTTGTATTAGAAAATTGTAATAGTTATTTACTGTCAATCAACAAAACTTACAGATATCTTGATCTTTTTAACAGTTTTCCAATTTCTTGTCACATCGTTTTTAACATTAACTTTCTCACAACATAAGTTGCTATTTGTATCTGACAAATTATCAGTTACTTTTAAGAAGAAAATTTCAGAAGAAAATTTAAAAAGCTTACGTATCTCGCTCACAATGGTAATAACGATTCTATAACATTTCAAATACTATAAGTATTGTACTTTTTCACAAAAAGATATAAAATATGTATGTTATAATTATGATAAATTATTTTCGAGACAAGATATCTATATCCAAATATTAAAAATATCTCAAGTATCCAGTAAGAGCATTTAAATGTAACTTTACTTGACAAACTTCAGGAATATGCATATACGTTATGACTTTACTTGAGATACTTATTAACATAAAAACATTAAAGATATGAAAAAACACGATGCTTTCACATATAACGTAATTATTAAAGTTCTTGAATATACTTCTATAATTATAGTATCACATCAGATTATAATAATGAATACAAATATACATTTTGGTTATATGATACAAAACTTTTATAAATATATACTTCAATAAAGGTAATTTTAAGAATTGGTAATGTCTATGCTAATTAGAGTATTTTGTTATATCTATCTGATAACATCGTACATGTATGGCTGATCACTAAATCAGATAACACTGCATCAGTTCCTTTGGAAAAATGTTCTATTACATCTTGAAGTACCAGCAAAAGAAAATTTGCATGTGTATCTTTTCTAATATTTTAAAATTGACACTTAAATTTTTATGCGGTCTTATTTCTCCATACATAATCAAATGTATAAAACTGTTAACACAAAAAATGTTTAATTATTAATTGATATTCCTGTAAAATATGCACTGTACTATGTGCTGTATTCGTACACATGAATCACCAATCCTATAAATGAAATCACATTGAGTAATTGAATATGTAGTACTTATTTATGCCATTCTGAACATTTTTTATAAGTAACAGGCAATCGTTTTGAATTCTAGAACTTTTTATACTATTGGTGTCATATGGAAGAAAAATGCCTAAACCTGTTAACTTAAAAAATCGTATATTTAAATCTAAATCTCAAACAGTATTTACAAATAACTTAAAGTAAATAATCCTTTAAAATAGAAATCCTCATCTTAGCCCCTACCGATTTTATAATATTATCTTTATATTGTACCTTATGCATAGTGAATTTAAATTGCGCGTCGGTTTTTTAGATCAATGATTGATAAACACCAAACACTAGATACTTGATGTCAATCGTTTACATATCGGCTACTAATAATGATTTTATTAAATGAAACGTTCTATATATTCATGCAAAAAGAAAATTGTATTACAAAATTCACTGCGAACATAGCAAGTACATTGTGTTGTAAAAAGTTTTATATACAACGTAACTTGCTAGCCCGCATTTCTCGAATTGAGAAAAGCAATGCTTCTAATTTCGCAACATTCTTCTAGAGTCTGGAATCTACACATTGATAAAATGAACATTTTCAGTTCCATTACTACATACGTATTCTATTTTCATAGTAACTACTATATACTGTTATTAAAATGTTAGTACTATAAATAACACATTTGCTTTTTACATTCCTAGCTTTTTAAATATCGATTTAGAAATACACAAAAAGTAGTACAGGTCTCTAGTATTAAATCAGTCAATACTCGGTAGAATTCAACAAGCTTATTAAGAAAATAAAAAAAACATTTAATTTGTATTAAACGTAAGAGAAGTAAAACACATTCATTTCTAATTTTTTATGCTTGAAGCTTTGCATTTACTGTGTAATTATTTATATGTAGAATGATATTGCGAAATTCGAAGCATTTTCCTGACGTTATATGCACATATACACACACAAGGGCACAAACACACACACATGGATATAAAAAGTATATACAATATAAGAAAGAAATAAGGCAGAGAAATGGAAAATAGGAATGCAGCGCCTCAATGAGACAAAGAATTGATGATACGTTTTGTAACATTCAATTTGAAGCAATGCATAGAAACTATGTAAAATCTAAAATGTTTTGGATTATGGTGGTAAGAAAGTGAATGAAATTATTTATCACAAATGGAGTTAGGAACGGGTAAGTCACACGATGCTGTCTGTATAAAAATGAGCAACCTGCAATATATTACTTAATATTAAAGATTAAAAGAAACTATAAGAATATCTTCAACTTTACTTAATTTAGTATACTGTTGATAGTACCTGTCTAGTGATTGCTAACTTTTTTTCTTATAAAACAATTCAAATCGTTGGGTCTTTTTACACTTCCTTAGTTCCTCATCTCCATGTTGAAGAATTCGATTTCTTACTTATGATAAACTGCTAAAAAAATGTATGAATGCATCGCTTCTTGTTCACAATCTTGTATGAATATGTATGAATGTATGTTTTTAACAAAGAATCCAGGTATATTAAAAGTCATCGATGCCGCCATCAAGGACGCCAGCACGAACTTTATCCAATACTTTGTTGACAAATTCGGTTGAGTGACTGGCTATACGAACTTCTGGAACAAACAAATGTGACATAAATAGTAGAACTGTATACACAATTGTTTATTATAGAATATAACTTATATATACTATGCAGTAATACATTGCAATATAATACATTTTCTACTACTTATCTTTTGTTTCACTTCAGTGTATGAATAATTAAATTAACTACGTAAACATATGTTACTGACTTATTAAAAGTTATGTCAATGAAAAATTTGTTATTAAACAGTTATATAAAAAATTAATTCAAACTAAGAACTATGTAATAAAATATAATTTGTTGTTCATCTGTTTCATTTTGAATGCCCAAATAATTTTCTTTAGGGCAATTAGCAATACTACGACATTTTGTGTAATTCGTCTTGTAATTTGTACGCTGCATGAAGTAAAAACATAATTTCCATTTCGACTACAAAAATGATCGTTTTACATATGTATGTAAATATATTACACCACTGCACCAGAAGTTAAATTGATACGTCAAAGCAGTGATTTGGCGATTAAATGTCTTTATTTTTTTAATAAAAAGTTTACGAACATCTTGTATAACTACCCTTGCTTTGCAATTACGGTTTAAGTTACGCAATATCTATAAAATTTATATTAACATTTTGTTGATACTAACTAGTAGCTAATTTACAGCATTTTTCCATCTGACGCGTTAACTCTTCTTGATGTTCAGGATTAGGTTCTGCTAACTTTGCAGCAAGTGTTTGCTTCGCTTGAGATATGCCATAAATTAATCGTTCTGTAACATAGAAGATGAATCAATGATCTGCAATATCTGTAATAAATACTATACCGCTGCTTCCACAGCTATTTCTTTTTTTATCAAATACTGCAAGTAGAAAAAAGTTCATTGTACATACGAATTTAACTGTAAATACTCAACTGTGCTCCTGTTCAAGACCATGTAGTTTTATTTTATTTGCCTCGTGCTGAGCCTTTTTCTTTAAGCGACACGCCCGGGAAGCAAGCTTATTTTTTTCTTTGCGAGTTTTGGGTCTTGCTGGGAATGGTAACTCCGATACAGGCGTCATGTCATTTATGATTCGAGATAATTTATCCAATTCACGACCGATACTATATAATTTTCTTGGATTCGGGGTGAGATCGTTTCCATCTCCTTTACGAGCCTTCCCACTATGCTTAATTCCGCGAAGGACACAATGGGGACTGAAAACAGGATCAGTGGCTTCGTTTAAAATATGCGGATCTTCGAGGCGCGCTCTTGCTACGAGTCTTTGTCCTTTTGGTCCTTTTGCTTGTACATTATACTGCCAAAAATATCGTTCTTTTTTGCTGTGTTTATTATCTCGGTTTGAGTCTACACTCCCAGTTCCTACTCTACTCCCAGTACTTTGATCTTCACCATCACTACCACCTGTATCTATAGATATAGAATACAAAGTAACATAAATAACATAGCTAATATACTAAATCACATACATAACACCATAAAAATTATTAGAAAAAAAAATTGTAATATTTATACATGACGAAATACCGTTATCACTGCTGTAGTCATCATAATGATCACTGTCATCGTCACTATCTTCATAACCTTCATCATGACTAAGATGATCAGTACGGTAACATGGATCAGGACTAAGTGCTTCTCCAGTACTCAAGCTACTTGTCGAACTTGCTTCAATGACTCCGCTTCCAGTAAGACTACTAGTGCTTAACAAATGTGGTCGTGGTTCCCTGCGTGTCCAAATTTGATCAAATCCCATTGTTCTAGTTGGAGCGGACATGGACAATCTAGAAACCTTAGGTTTATTGTTGGTTGTACATCCAATGTCTAATTGCCCACAAGTGGAATTATCAAAAGAGTTTTCGCATCGTCTTATTAACAGCTCATGAAGAGCAGATTGACCACTAGGCCTGTTCATAGGATGTGGAGATGTAGATGAACTTGCTGTTGAACTACCTTTAAAGAAAAGTACTATATTTATAATCAATAATATCAAATATATTATTTACGGTTACGTAGAGAAAGAAAAACTGTTTTATAACAAACGTATTAAAAAATAAGACTAAAATGACTTCCGACAACTGACATTTTTCAGTTTGTTTTTAATTTTTAAAAGTTTTAGTTAGAAAAGTCCAGTCTAAATCTATTATACTTTATATACATATACATTAACTTTTAATTCAGTTTTATATCCCTATTATAATTTAAAGTAATGAGTAAATTTATGATTAAACTGTAGAATCTGCAGTTTCACATTATTTAATTCAAGTTAAAGAGAATCACATCGACATATAATTATTAAATGTAATAAAATAATCACAATTATCCTAATTTGAAGAAGTAGTATTTCATAATCATTTAGCTTTCATTTTGTAATGTGATATTAAGGGTTGAGTCATAAATAACTTCAGCATAAACTTTAAAGAAATTATTAAATATTGCTTAAATGATAATAGCAATAAAAATATTTGAATTATTTAATACTTATTTAAAATATTTTTTTTATTAGATTCAATAATGATTTAGATAAACCTGTAATCAACTAATAATAATTATAAAGTGCCTTCGAGCAATATAAATATAAAAAAAAACAAAACTGAAGATATATATTTGTGACTCAATCTAATAGAATTGTTTGTTGTGTAAATAGAAAGTAAATAATAAAGTTATATATAAACCTGCAACATTACTGGTTCCTGGACTTGGAAATGCATTTGGACTAATTGTCTCCAAATTATCAGCAACATTTATATTTATATTCAGATTAAATCCATGTGCATTTATGTACGTGGGACAGATGTTACGATACACTGATCCAGATTGTGGAAAACTGCTTGGTGCAAAGCCTGTATTGTTATCATTGAATAGTGGTCCAACTGATTGTGTAGTATTAACATCTACTTTAAATGGTTGAATCCTTTCTTCTGGTAAAAGCAGATCGTCAAAGTTTAAATCACCTAAAAGTGTTTCGTCATTGGCATTCAATTCGGCGAGGGTAGGTCCTTGAATAAGATCTGCTTTGTCAACTTGAAATATATCATCATCTTCCATTTTAAAAGAATCATCTAATTGATCGGAATCCATTTTAAATGGAGATTCTATAAGATCTGGTCGGTTAGGCCACATAGAAGGTATAGTCAATGGAGATGGTGAAAATTGATCATATACACCTCTAGTGCTTCTATGCCCTCCTGGTATTGGTACTGATGCTGAAGATGAACCCATCTCTTGATTAGGTTCTTGCTTTATTATATCATCCATTGGGCTAGATTTTATTTCTAGAAATAACTCTGTATATTCAGATTCTCCCATTTGTAATACAATCTTAAAATTAATTGAATTAAAATTTGCTATTTTATAATGTACAATTTAAATGATTCAATACTTTGTAAGGAAAACTCACCGATTATTTTTCTTTCGATTAGCCAAGCAGTTAAATATCAAATTATTGTTTGCAGTTTTCCAAATAGTAATGAAATATATGCAATCATACAAGCTTGCTAAATACTAAATGTCAGTAAGATTGAACGTAACGTGAAAAAAAACCACATACACGGAAGGTATACGATTTCGTATGAAACTGAAGTAAATAATAAACTATGTATGTAATCACGGGTGATTTGTTTGCATAGTTCTTGTTGGTGGGAATTAATAATAAAGTCCTCAATCCACACGTTTACATAGTACATTCAACACCCGCACATGAAATGACCATGACTTTCGTCAGCAAATATTTTTCGTAGACGACGACATTGTTTTCAGCGAAATTTTCACAAATCAATCTTGGAAAATCCTAAGATTTTTCGCTTAAATATAAAAAACACGTTACAGAGGAAAAGAAATGTTGCAATATGCTCGTAAGTCACTTCTTTTAGCTACGCACCAATTATCCATAAAAACCAATCACAAAACACAGTTTGTTATTGTTTTGCCACAAATTTTCGAGACAGTATCACTGATATTAACATAAATAGGGACGATCACATGACAAAAGTCGAGTACTTGACCAATCAAAACATCCAACCAATCACAAAGGAATATTTAACTTGTCCATCCTTTATGATTTGTGAATTTATTAGCAATTATAACGCAATAAAATAAAACAGTTACACGACACTATAAACTGCATTAAAATTACACATTACCACGATAGATCAAACCAACTGTAGCGAAAAAATAAAAAATATAAAAGCAAGTATTATTGTTAACTCATGTGAAGGATAAGCTGCATCATAATAACACCACATGACTTTTGCAGGGACGTCTACGAGACCATGCAAGACGAAAGTACTTTCTAAAAGAGAGATTTTAAAAAAATTTTACTTTCATTACTGTGCTATTCATTAAGAACAGAAAGAAATTTAGTGTATTATAGAACGATTTGACAATATGGAGTTCTACGTGATGTCTCACTTTAATGAATAGGCATGTCAAGCTAATAGGAATTTATATTTTGATCTTTTCTGCAAACAGGTATACGCCATGGCACGCCAAGGTACGCTCCTGTTTCAAGCAAAACAGACTGACGAGAGGTCGATCACGTGACAAGCTAAACCACCATATTGTGTAACGGTCCATCCATAAAATAAATGTATGGCGAGCGGATATATAGAAAGAGCTGAGTTATACTGGTTATACTGTGACATCTAATTGGTAGAACAAAACAGATACATATATTCTACCAATTGCAAATCAAAACGCGCTGTGGCGAGTTCATTTACTTGAGTCAAAACAGACAAGTTTTCAGTGCTTAAAGTTGGTTCAAGTTCTGGTAGGACAACAGCAAACAGCAATATTTGTTGTTACTGTCGTTAGTGTATTGAGTGTCGAATTCCAAGGATTGTTAACAGCATTAAATGTATTTGCTATAATACCAAAATGGCCGGTGATAAAGTGATTGGGGATCCATCGTATATGAGTGAAGAAAAAGTACGCCAAATTAGTGCTTGTAATGTAAATTTGTATCCGGAGGACGAGCTTCTTGAGTCTGTCGAATATATCCCCTGTCCTGAATTTCAATTTTCAGTAAGTTTATAGAAATGTTCTTGCACTTAGATTTTTTATTCAATTAATGGTATTCAGTATTATGAAAAGGTGTCTTTAAAAGTAAATCGTTAATGACTGTTATTTAAAATGTTTTAAAATACTATCAATGTTACAAATGTAAATTCCTGGTTTAAAGGATATCGCGTCATATAAAACATTTTAAACCTACGAATCTCTACTGACTTCGACATCTTTCAAGTTTAACAATTTAGTCTAAAAATATTTTAATTTTTACTCAGTAGACAGGTTGAATTATATTAAAAAAAATAAATATAACATATTAACTACTGTAGTTTGTTTTACAACCAATCTTCCAGGACCATGTTATATTTTCAGTATTCTTTTGTGATACAGTGCTTTTGCTTAGTTACATATTAATAATTATAAAAAAAAAGTCTAATATTGTTCTTCAATGTTGCATTATATATAGCATTTTTAATTTTTGTATACACAATGTAGAACTATGCCAATGAGATCCGTGCAAAATCATCTTCATTTAATTGGCAAGGTGGCTTTTTATTTCTACTTTCAGTTTCACGCAAGAACCTGTTACCTGTCAATAAGGTGTTAGTTCATTAAAGATTGTAAAATACCTTTTAATAAGTTGCTGTTTAATCCTAGTATGTTTTAATTATCTAATTAAAGTATTTATTATTCCAGACAGTGGCTTGTTGTTTCTGCAATGGATATTATGGGCCATCATTTGGAGAACCTGTTTGTCCAACGTGTCATACGTTTCTATTTCCTAATGAAATTGGTCTTCTACCAGTTTCAATCTTCAGTGAAGTACGTTTTTTTATTATTGTCACCATTATAACTATAATTCAGTGTATTTTACTGTAATTTTACCATGCAATTAATGGTTTTTAAAAAGATATTTTAGATTTGAATTTCTATTATGAGAGAGGCATAGAAATTATTCCAATATTTTTTAAATTTGGATGATCTTATTGTATACATATGAAGAAAAAACTGAGACATATATTTTAGTAAAGAGTCTCTTTGAAATAATTTTTTTTTTTTAGAAAACAGATGACGAAGACTCAGGAAATGATGAGCCAAATGAATTATTCTACAATCATGAAAGAAGAGCTAGTCAGCAGCACCAAAATTCACCACAAAATCCAATTTCAAATGTATCAAACGTATCAAATATCTCTAATCCTAATTCTCATATATCTCCGCGTATTCACTTGCAAAACGAAAATATTTCAGCTATACAAAATTATCAAAGAGTTTATTGCGGTATAAATATAAGCAATTCTAAAAGTACAGCAGTCTTGTCTCAAAATGTGCATCATCTTCATGATGCGCATTCTAATAAAATCCAAGACATAGTTAATAGGAATGATGAAACTCGGTCTCAAAACCGAAATGAACAAATTTTAACTGTAAATTTCCAAAATGTGGTGGAAGAAGATGTACACAGTGTAATATCGCAGGCTCAAGAATTAGAAAATTACCAACAGTGCCAGTGGAATTACAAAGTACGGGACGATATAGGAGAATCTTCACAATCGCATAACTTATCCAAACGATTGGAGATGTTAACCAATTATAAACACATTGAACATGAACCTATCAACGAGCCAGGGCTAGTGGAACGGTTACCTCCGGAAGTGTTATTAGTTATCTTCTCGCATTTGGACGACGTCAGTCTTTGGTCAGCAGCAAACGTTTGTCGTAGATGGTACGGTTTGTTATCAACGCATATAACACCTCAGCAATGGCAACAAAATGTTAAGTTACGGTGGCCGTTATACAAGCCCATTGGATCTGTTAAAAATTGGTATAAAGTGTACGATTTCTTAGCTTCCTCTGCACCTTGTAGAACATGTTTAGCACAAACATGTTTAAGATCACGACCATTAAGAATGGAAGAAAATTCATGGAGAAGGAATCGATTACACAGTGAACTTAAGAGCTTAAGAATAGATCCTCCTGAAGGTATCCAAGCAACACCTTTAGACCAAATGTGCTGTCATTGGCAAGCAACTATAACTGGACCCGTGGGAAGCCCGTATGAAGGAGGCTTATTTTATCTTTATTTACAAGTACCATGGAGGTAAGTACTGGGATATACAAGATGAGACATTTAAAATAAACCACACAGGTAGTAAAGGCTTCATGGGAGTTGGATAGAAAGTTCCTTGTGAGTCAAGCGCATACATTGTTGTCTTGTTAAGTTCATACATTTTTGTCCCCTGCTTTTGTTATCGAGGTTCGGACTTCGGGCAAAAAATAGATTTGTGAGATGTTCAAACGATTTGCGATGCACCGTGAAAAATCTTAAAAGCATCACTTGCTTTCAACAAATTTCTTTTATGAATAGTAAGGATATGAATACTTATGGGACCGACTTGTATATTAGCTGTAACAGTCAATTTATTGGGTTGTTTTTAATTACTAATTAGGAACTCAATTATAATACTATTTTTGGTTTTTAAATATTTGCAGTTATCCTCTGTATCCACCAATAGTAAGATTTTTAACGAAAATACTTCATCCAAATGTGTCTAGACATGGTGATGTTGGTATAGACTCTATTCATCATAACTGGTCTTTAGCACTAACAATATCAAAGGTTTTAATCAGCGTTCAAAGCTTGCTTACGGATCCATATTGTCAGGTATAACATGTGAAAAAAATAAAAAGCGTTTATTGAATTATACAGGGTGTTAATATATATGTGGTAGACTTTCCCAGGGTGGATTTTACATGCACAACTAAGACGAAAAGCAAGAATGGCGAAATTGCGTTCGAGGCCTCGTTTTCGAGTTATTAATTGGTGAAAATACGGGCAACATACGCGTAAAATACGTCCAACATGACGACTTATACTACTTGAGAAGCGCGCTCTTCAATTATCTTAACGATTTTGATTTGAGTGTATTTCATTCTAAATTTATCTAGGCCATCGATTGATACAATCGATCACGTCAGACGTATTTCACCCGTATTCTGCCAGTATTTTCAACAATTAATAACTCGTAAACGAAGCCTCAAACGCAATTTCGTCATTTTTGAGTTTCGTCTTCGTTTGGCGAGTAGAATCCACCCTGTGAAAGTATCCAACATTTTTATTAACACCTTGTATAACTATTTTATTATTAATTTTGCCATATATTTATTAATATAACAAGTAATAAATAATATTATGGTACACACTCTACTAATAATAAATGTATGCAATATACAGGTTTGCATGGAACCAGAATTGGGTCAGATGTATTTGAACGACCGTGAAAGATTTGATGAAATTGCCAGGACATGGACATGGCGATACGCTATGCATGATGTTGTAACACCACTATAAAGATATCATCAATAAATTATTTGCTAAATAAACTGGTATTATATAATTGCTGTTTTTTAAGTTCAAGCCAACCAGATTAAATAGTTTGAAGGGTTTGCAGCGATAAATTAATTAATTCATGCAGCAAGAAATGATTTGATCATGGTACAAATAGATATAGTCATCCATGATTACCCATGGGTAGAACTGAAGATTGTTATTATCTTTGATTATGACATATTTATGTAATATGTTTTGTCAATATGGAATATAGTGTGTGCTCAGTTATTAAATACATATGTTTTTGTATTTCAATATAACTCATACTTTTTCACATGTTTGTACAGTTTAACAAACTTCTTCGTCCATAAGTAATCCCCTTTTAAATGTATAAAGGTTGTAGTGAAATTAAGATCCAAAAAATGTTAGAGTTCGGCGGTGCAGTTAAATTTTTATTTTTGGGGGGGGGGATTATACCGAGGTACCAGAAGCTACAAGATGAAAATTGAGAATGTCATTGGTAATAGGATTAATGTTTGTTAAAAAGTAAATTTATAAAAAATTTCTTCTCACTTTTGAATCAATTACTCTAGTTAAATAATCGAAATCAGTCATTGCCACGTGGGAAAATTTTGTACGATATTTTCAACTGATTCAAACGACATTAATTTATTTACATGTTGCTTGAGGGACCGGCAGGGGAACTTTTATCCGCGGCGTGAAAATGATTTCGAGTGCACAGCCAGCCAAAAATCATGATGCGTGTGACAATACTAATGATATTATAAAGTGGTACTCATAATAATATTATCATTTATCATACAGTAGTGATAAAATAATATTGAACAAGTTGTTTTACTCAATAATATCACATTATTTATTAAATTCAAAGTCATAATTTGGTTTACAGTTTGTTTTTTATACAATATTTACAATTGACTATTTATTACATGATAGTAGCAATAAATGCTTCAATATCATAGCTTTATCTGAATCTAAACTACCAATACACATTCTGAAGAATTCAGATACGTTAAATAAATTATCTATATTGCCATACAATGTAAGTATAAAACTATACCGCCACATCAAAGGTTCTATATCGGTGGACAAACGCAATAACAATAATAATAAATTTCGTACTTTGCTCCAGTTTCTTTGAACAACATGTGACTTCATTTCAGAAAGAATTGCTTCCTGTGAAAAACTAAGACAGTACTGACTTTCTTCTGTTTTATATTGATGCCTAATTTTACAATGCGAATAAATTTGTTGTAACTTTGTATTTTCTTGTATTTCTGTTTGCTGTCTTTCTTTGCTCCTTGTATTCAGCCGAATGAATTCAATAGCTTGATTCTAAAGAAAAGTTCAATTCTTAACGTATGAGAAAACTGTAGACAAACAAAATTCTATTGTTACATACCACTGTATTCCTCCTAATTTTCTTCATTCCAAACTTTGAACCTTCTTTCAGGTTATATTTTGCAAAATATTTCATTTTATAAATTTTCTTCTAATGTTCACTCCAATTGTAGTGTAGCAATTTTGTTTCAAACATGGGTTTGAGGACATGCCAGGTGGAATACTATGTGTTTAAATATATAACAAAAATCCTAATAGTTTAATAGTAATCAAGACACCAAGTTTAAAATTATTTGGTTGATTCAGTTTGGTAAATGCATTATGCATAGAAACATACTCGCTGATGTTAAAGTCAATTTCCTCAATCGTCTGGAATTGAGGTCTTTATATTTCAGCAAGATAATACATCTAAATATACATATAGCTTGTATAGTTGGTAAATGGTTTGAAGATCATAAAATGAGAAAACCAAACTAACTAATTCGTTCACCTAACACGGAACATATGAGGACTTCATGTAAGAAGTGGTTATAAAAGTAATGCCGTATACGTGTGTACACCCTCGAGCAAAGTCGGCTCCCGTTGAGGGAAAAGCAGCGTAGGGGAAAGGCCTCCCACCTCTTGACCACAGAAGTCACTGAAACTCATGCCACACTTACATGAAAGAACCACCACATTAAATTTAACATTTATTTCAGTACTCGCAAGCAACCAAATTTGCGCGTTTGAACGTTGAGGGTAAAAGCAGAGAGGAAATTTTCTCTCTGCTACATCCTATTGGGTGAGCGGTAGCAAATCTAGTGAAATCACTCAACGGTTGTGCAACGGCTGTGTCGAGCTGAAAGTCACGTGTTTTCTTTACTACTAGTACAATGTGGTACTATGTGATAATGTATCTTAACTGAAAGATGAATAAAACTCCACGGCAATTCTTAAACTGTAATGTGTGTAGGTAAAACTTCTTGATCACTTTTTAATCACCTGAAAAATTAATAATCAATAGGCATTTAGTCTGAAAAATAATGTTTTCTCTTTAAAAAACATAATGCATACTTGAAATTTGAACTTGTAATATATGCGTGAGCTCTGACAGAGATCGACAATCACTCTCAAGTAAATAGATGTATGGCGGATGGCGACGCTTTCTGAAATTTGCCGAGTAATGTTAAAGAATATTTAAAGGAAACGTATTAATATGTGTACTTCAATTAAAAATAAGGTAATTAATTGTTTATTGTTCATGTATGGATAATGAAATACTATATTTCGTATTTTGTGGTTACGATAAAACTGTAAATGAAGGAGAATAAGAAATTTATGGACTAAAAATATTTTTAATTGAATTTAAATATTACTTTCAAGTTATTCAACAAAATTATTTAATTAGTAACTTATTTTGTTGTTTTAGGAAAATGATACATGTAAAGAAGTATTCGCAGTGTCAAGGAAAGTATCGAAGGATTGTTTGAAATGGCTATTCATCCAGATACATGTGATATTTGACTTCTTAGTCGACTTATTTTTTGGGCTTTACTATGATAGTAAAGCACGAAAAGTTCCATCAGTGAAAAATGATTTGCTGCTAATGAGTGCAACACAGTTGGCTGATAAAATCAGGTACTAAAAAGATCATTAATACCAAAATACATTATAAATGTTTGTATAATTACTCACGGAGGCATTATACAGTTACTAGATGATGAATTTGATGAAATTTGGAGAGGAAGTACTTCTAATAAGAATATTTACTACATATTTTTTTCATTGACTATTAGTCATGTTAAAGCAGAGGTGTCTAACTGCTGCTTATGAGCAAATCTTCTCCTCTGGAGGTACATCCACTATGGGGCTCTAGCTGATACACTCGAGTGTCCCTACCAATAGTCATTTTGTCATGACAAAAGTGAGTTGATCCGAGCACCATAGTGGGAGACCTTTAGAAAGAAAGATTTGCTCATGAGCAACAATTGGTCATGTCTGTGTTAAAGAGATGAAAATATTCCTGAAAAGTAGGCATGGAAAACATACTTTCTGACCTCACCTTTTAAGTAAATGTTAATTATTGCATATTGTAATAATACTTATGTGCTTATTTCAAATTGGCAATAGGCAGTTCTGATAATATTTATGTATATACTGATGTTTCTAGTAGGTCTAGCATGATACATACAATATGACTGTACTATTTTCTTCTTTTCACTTGCATCTCATTGTGGTGCAAAACCAGAAAAGGGATATTGATTGCTGTATGGTTAGTTTTATGGAAAAGATATCTCATTATTTAAATCTTTAAGGACAGATTTTGAATGGTTGAACAATGAAGTTCTCTCCTGATTGGGATGAATGTGTTATTTCATTTACTACTCAGCAAACTATACATATAAATATAAATATACATTCTATGCTGAAACTGAGGGAGATCTATGATTTCAGTAAATATTATGATATAGTTACAATCTTGTTGCTGGAAAAGGTTCTCGTTCTCGTTGCTAAAACGATTCTAACCTTTTGGAGCTTTTCGAAGCCAGTTACAAATTTTTTCAATACAATTTTGAGTTAATCCGTAAAATGAAATTTAAATACAATTCATCTATATTTAACAAAAAGTGTAAAAGTACACTTATTTCGCATTATACATTGTCTTTTAGGAATTGTAGTCGTTTATGTTTAAAACATGTTGAAGAAAAACGATAATTTGATTCAAAAACAAGTGTTCGCAAGCACTGGGCCACTCTGCTAAATTTTTTCACGTTTATTACACTTCTGTTGGGGAAACTGTTTCTGTAAATCCGCTGTGCTCTTGAGGCATTTCCATCTGCTCTCCCATAAATGAAATGAATATCTTCAAATTTTTGGAAGCTGTATTCCATTTTGGGATCCAAGGGTTTACACCACAGAAGTTCGCGAAAAATGTCCACACGCGGTGCGCGGTTCCTCCGTTGCGTTACCACCGTACACGTTACACAAAACTAATACCTATAATAATTAAGTTATAACTATTGTTTGTACTAATTTTTTACCTGCAATAATTAATTAATAGCTACTATTTATACCAATGTTTAACCTATAATAATTGAGTAACGCTACTTATAATAACAGTTTGTCGTAACTTTTCGGCGTCCTGATCTAGTTAGCACAGAAACTCATTAGCTTACTTCACGCTTGGAGTAGTTGAGACTTAAATTGAGTACCTTGATCTGTAGAAATTACTACTGGGACACTGAATCTTGCAATCCAGTTTGCGTATAACGTTGTTGTCACTTTGTCCGCTGAGCAATCCGTGAGTCACACTGCTTCCGACCACTTGGTGAACCCTTATGGCTGTAAGACAGTACCTACAACAGCTTATTATTGACAATGGCCCTACCAAATCCACATGTATATATTCGAATCGACTCTTTGGAATTTCGATCTTTTCTGGAACTGGTTGTTGCGACGGTGGATATCACTTTTTGGGCAAGGCACACAGGTACAGGACCACTCGGCTGTATCACTGTTTATTGGAGGCCAGACAAAGCTTTTCCCCATCAATTTCCTAGTTGTTCTTCCATTAGGATGTGATAGGTTGTGAATATTTTCAAAAAGCTTTCGTTTTAAAATTTGCGGCACATAGGGCCTAGTATTATTTTTTATTGTTTCTTTTGTACATTCATCCAAAAATACTTTTTGGAAATTTCACCTGTTTGATTTTTTTAACTGCCTACTTTGTCGCGGATTAGCTTTGTCAGCTTTCTGATGAAATACATGTACAGTGCACTCTAACTATATTGCCACTAAACATATTGCCAGGCGTTGAGGCCGAGGCTATGACGATAGAACTTAGCATGGAGGGAGCTCAGAACTCATTGCCATTCACGGTCGTATATATATTACCCTTGTAGCGGTACGATGCATACCAGACTAACGATCGTCCAGGGACAAAAGCCCTTTGTTTATAGCGCGTAGCGAACACAACACAAATTAATTGTAGCGACCAATGCAGTTGCCATTTCGTATTATCCAGAACGATTCGAACGCTCTGGACGATACCCGAATCCATCGCCGCGGCGTTCTTGTTGTTAGTGTGCGTGCGTGCGTGATAAGTGCGATGAGAACTATAGAGTGTATATAGAACGCCTGCGCCTCGACTGAATCATCCTATCAGTCGATCATGTTATTGTAAATACAGAGCTGTCAACGTCGCGACGTGCCACCAAGAGTATTATTGTACCAAACTCTTTCCACTATACATTTTCTTGCCTGTGCTATTGATAAATCGATTAGGTATATTACATCTGTGTTATTACACATCATCGTTCTGTGATCGCCGCAATTGGTGACACCGACGTGAGTGTCACATAAAATAAACGTGATTCCTTATCGCCAGATAGTATAAACGTGATTGAAGCCGCGAGTTTCGAATCGTAATAATTTGACGTTCAACCGAGTTGAGCGACAGAAATTTAGTAACAATATTAGAGTAATTATATCAGTGTATTTTTATAACATTAAACAATACGAGTAGTGTTAAGTAAAATTTGTTTCGGAATCCACGATACGAAGCCTCTTCCTCGGCTTACAAAGTGGTGATTTGGACGTGATTGGGTTGGAACGGGCGAGCGTTGAACGCAATAAAGAAGAAAAAGTATTATCAACGTGTATATGGGCAAGATATCCAGCGACAGCAGTAATGCTGCAGAAGTTAGTAGGGTGTCCACAAAAATTTCGGCTTTTTGATAAGAAAAATCGCGTAATTGATTTTGACGCCTAGAAGCGGTGTTTATAACAAACGGTATTACAATGAAAACCACGAAGTTCCAGCATATCATTGCAGTATTGGGTCAAGAGAACGCAGATGAGATCGAGGACGTGTTGAACGACCCGAAGACCAAGGGCAAGTACGAGTTCATTAATGAAATGACTTATCCGAACCTTTTGGAAAGGGAACAGCTAGACGACCGTACTCTATCGCAGACTCTCCAGCATCTACAAGGCCTCGAAAGCGTGTGAGTTATCGAAGATTTCCTAAAAACTCTTTGGTTGCATCGCTTATTAACAGCAGCGCAACGAATATTGGTAACATTGCATATTCACTCACTGGCAGAGCACTCTGAACCCGCTGATAGAGTGCCCGAAATCAAGCTCATACAAGAGCAAGTGGCCCAACTAATCGCGGATGCGAGAATACAAGAAGTTCTACGATGCCTGGAACGCCTGACACGTTGTGTCGATGAATTATCTCGTCGAGATCGTCCGTGACAGAGTCGACTATTATTTATAGTTGAAGGTATTCGCGAAGCCAGAAATTCGATACCCATTTGGAGAAATACAGCGAGTGTTGGTATCATTGAATATTCGGCGACAAATGGCGAAACGTGTGTCCGCTGTTCGGGAAGCCCCCAAAACTATCGTTGAAAGCGGTCATTGACGACAGACGAGTAGAGAACTGCCTTTCCATCACAGGAACTTCGGGAGGCTTTCGGACACCGGCTTCTTCAAAACAGCTGGAGAACTGTACGCAGCCATTTCCATCGATTATAAATTTTAAGTTACGCCGTCAGTTAGAGATTCATTGTGGCGGACGTGGACAGACAGATTGTCGAAATTAAGTTCCTGGGACACTATGGTTTATTGGTTGACACATGCAATCGACGCCTGGTGGATGAAACTGCATCCCTCGTGACCCGCGGACGGAAAGTCGTCGGTCAGACAACTTCAGTAAGAACAATTCATGGGAAGGAAATCAAAATAGAATCAAATGGAAAAAACATGGGAACTGCAAGTACCACGACATCCCAGCGAATTTGACGGAAACTCCAAGTACTATGACATCCTGGCAAAGTTTCCGGATATCAAGTGGGAAATAAAGCACGGTGTGGCGCATCAGATCGAGACAGCGCTGCGACCTTTACTATTTTGCGAACAACGACTTGCTCCTGATCGTATGAAGGTGGTGAAGGCTGAATTCGACTACCTACTGCGATAGGGTACCAGTCGACCATCAATAACTGTTGGGCATCCGCCCCTAAGGAGGACAGTGAACTGCGACCGTGTAGTGATTATTGCGCACTTGACGCTAGAACAGTACCGAATGGTTATCCAATTCCATACCTTGAGGACATTGCGCAAGCATTGCATGGAAAAAGCGGTGTTTTCGACCATAGACTTGGCTAGAGCGTACCATCCGATATCCGTAGAATCCGCAGGTGTAACAAAAACAGCGGTAACAACACCGTTTGGTTCGTTTGAATGTATCTCAATGCCGTTTGGTCTCCGGGACGTAGCGCAAATGTTTCAACGTTTTATTAATAACGTATTGAGAAATTTAGATCTTTGTTACGCGTTTATCGATGACATTTTAGTCGCGTTGAAAAATAATATCGAACACGAGCAACGTCTGTACATTTTATTTCAGAGACTGAACGATTGCGAGCTTGTCATTAATCCTTCGAAATGCGTGTTAGGAGCGTGGAAAGTTGAATTCTTAGGGTATGCGGCTGATCATCGTGGTATACGACCGTTAGTGGAACAAATCGACGCGTTTCAAAAATTTCTAAAGCCGATGATCGTTAAAGAGTTATAGGGATTTCTCAGAATGGTTATTTTCTACCGCAAATTTATTCCCCACGCAGCGAAAT